TTTCTTTGCTTGTCTGGCCCTGGGGCAGTAAGTGAAAGCATAGCGGCATTTATTCCACCCACACGAACTCCAGGAACAAGCTGTAAAATCCACTCTTGCTCCGAGGAAGTCCTGGCTCCGCACTGCTGAGAACTGCTGGAGACTGAAAATGTGGAGTCTGATAGATTGAAGGAAGAAGGAAAGGAATGAAGGCAGCGGAATCAGTTTAGGAACTGGTAACAAAGAGCAGAAATTACATAACCTTCACCGGAGACCTCTCAAGCACATTGGCACATTTGCCGACAGTGAATACAGTGTGTGAATTCTAAAGGAAAAGAAGGTTCTTTCTGAAGCAGTGTGGGCCTGGTTTTGGGCATTCTTCTGAATCATAAGTTCCCCGGCAAAAGAAAGGGATGCACATCAGGACACATGTCAGCGCCCTGGCTCAGTCTCTCCAAGAACTATCAGCTTCTGGTGTTTCTACCATTTCCTTCTGCTGGAGGCTCTGTGCCTTAGGACAAGGAAAATACAAAAAAGAAGAATTATAGGGGTTAATGATGTAATATTTAATGTTTTCATTCAAGAGCAGAATAATGAGATTTTGGTGTATCATATCAGCAGAGAAGTTTCTCAGAGGAGGAAGTGTCTATGAGTGCCTCATAGTGTGCAGTTGTTCTGAGTGTCTACTCCTTGTCTGTTTCACAGCTCCATGTGGTGGGAACTTGACGGGCCCAAGCGGGCTGATCCTCTCTCCCGAGTACCCGGAACCCTACCCACATGGCCACGAGTGTGACTGGACCGTCACTGTGACCCCTGACTACGTCATCGCCCTGAATTTCATCCAGTAAGAGAAGCTTCCCAGAGACGTGCTCAACAACAACAGCAACAATAATTATGATAATAATAAGCCCAGAGTGGGATTTAGTCAAGACACTAGGGTTAACAGTTCTGTTCTTCGTGCCAGGGAAGCTATGCTCTGCAAAAATAGTCAGGACCTTGGATTATTGGCTCATTCAAGAGATTGTACTGCTAGAATTTGCTTTGAGGTCTCCCATTCTATTTATGACCAGTCACAGCTTGGCTTTTGAGATCAGATCAAATCATGCCACAGGGTGCTAACCCTGCTGTGTATAGTCAGGCATCAATAGCATCTTTCCTTGTGTGTTTTGTCAGTTTCAGTCTGGAGCCCAGCTATGACTTCTTGCACATCTATGATGGCCCGGACTCACTCAGCCCCCTGGTGGGCAGTTTCTACGGCACAGAGGTTCCTGACCGCATTGAGAGCAGCTCTAACACACTTTTCCTGGCCTTCCGCAGTGATGCCTCCCTGAGCAGCAGTGGGTTTGTCCTCCAGTACACTGGTATGCACCTTTTCCCTAAATCTTCAGGCCTGTCCTTGCATAGCACTACAAAGTTTAATAGAACATCAAACACACGCCAAAGGACAGGGCGATCAATGGATCCTTACCACAAGAAAATATGCTTGGCAATTAGAGCAAATGCCTGCTTTGTTTTTCTTGAGCACCCATCAGCTTTCATCATAATGGAACAATTTGTGTGATTATGCTTTTCATTGGTTTGTCTGGTTCTGAACTAGAAAAATAAAAATACTTGATTGCACAATTTTAGTACACAACACCCCATAAACGAAAGGTTGACTCTGTGATTTAAACATTGCACATTATGCAACCTTCATTACAAGCTGCTGAATTCCATTTAATAATGATTGCATATCATTTTAAAACTTCAGAACATAGCTTAACAATGTGACAAAGAAAGGCACCAAAACCCTTTTACTTGTTCATTGATCGACAAATTGTTGGGTCACCACAATCGTACGCTTCCCTGCAGCTTGCAGGCTTTAAAGTTAAAAGATACTGCATGACACAAGCAGAGACTGGAGCTCATTTGTAAAACCACCAGCTGGTAAAAACTGAGAGATTGAGCTATAGAAGAGATTGATATATACAGGCAATGAACGGTACAACAGTACATTAACTTCCTTATTTAATCTGCTTTGTATCTGGAAATACACAAGGCAGCGGGGAATGTGAAGAGTACACTTCAGTAAAGCCATATTGCAAAAAACAGACTCACATTTTATTTTCCAGAGTTATCAGTAAATAGTTTTTTTTTCTGAAACGATGGGCAGAAGTGGACGTTCTAATTTCTGTTTATCTGCATGCAATCTGAGTTTGTCTCTGCATTCGTGTGGCTCTGTTGCACCAGTCACATACAATCAGAGCAATCAGTCTCCGTCCAGCTTGCCACTGCACCATGCACCTAGGGAAACTAATGGAAGGGTTTTAAAGTTGTCTGCCATCCAGGCACATTTATCCTGAGCCCAGCCAGCCTGACTGACCTTGTCTCGCTGTGGCTGGGACCTACCCTGGCAATATTTTTTATCATGTCTGTATGGCTTCCTGTAAATTGCAGAACCAAAATATGTTAGTTCCATAGATGCTTTAAGAGATGTGCCTTCCTCTTGTCCTCAGTGGATGCTTTCAGTATTGATCCTAAGTGCCCATTTCTTATGTCTGTGTATGAGGTCAGGGTTCTCTGTGCATCACTATAAAACTATAAATAAGAATGTTACAGTGCCCAAAATGGCCGAGCAGAATGACAAAAGTTGTTTCTGCTCTCTCACCCTACTTGTCACAAATGATAGGAGGGAGCTACTGGATTCTACACCTCAGCTAGAGGAAATCTGGGAATCACCTGAAGTTTCTAATCAAGCAGTGCTCTCGGTTGTTGTCCTCTGGTATTGATTAAAAAAATGAAACATAACAGAACTGTTCCTCTGAACAATCTGTCTTTGCCATTTCTCAGACTTTGACTGATTGGAAGTTCTTGATTTCTTTAGAACAGCAAAGGGAGTATGAAGAGTTTTCTCCCCTCTGGGCTACCACAGACCTAATTACAGCAATATGGAGGTTCATGGCTCAGTACCTAAGACAAGAAAAACTGCATAAACATTTTAAGAAGGCACAACAGACAGGCCAGATCCAATATTTTGTAATATACAACAGTCTTAGTTTCACATTACCTTAAATCTGTTTTGTTGCTTTTGGAAATCAATTAGCTTGAAAATGAAGAGACTCTGTCATAGTGCACACAGTCCAGAGCCCAGATCCCACCTTCACCAAGATGGCTTTCTGATTTGGTGAATGTCTCCTGCAGTGCAGAAAGCAGAATCTCATGAAAGTCCCCAGAGTCCTGTCTGCATTAAAGTCACACCCTATCCTGTCTGAATGGAGAGGCTTTTTTTATTTGGGCTAAATGCTGAACCTTTATCAATCCGTCTGAACTATTAGGCTGAGTGGGCGATCCTAACCTTGTTATCTTTATCAGTGAAACACATGGAGCGTTTTAATCTGGGAATTTAAAGAAAATGTATTCTTGCTTCATAGCAGTTTATAGTTGCTTTAATAACTATCTAATGATGTTATTTTGTTTCTCATTATTAATGTCAAGATTTAAGTGACTGGTGAGAGCTCCACTGCTCTGTTACTAATAACTGCAGTTACTATTCAGAGAAGCAACAGAAAGTGCCTGCAGCTTTCACAGTCAGTGTGATCTCTAAATTAGACTAGCAATATTTCTATACTGTTCCTTACTAGTTTTAACTAGATTTCAATCTGGCTGTCCCTAATGGGATACATATTTTGAAGCAGATGCATTCAACAGATTTATCCATTCTCTGATATTTTTCATTTGATTTCATTGTTTAGGCTATAGATTCGATTTGATTGACAACTCTCAGAAGAAAAAAATTGTCTCCTCAAATAATGAGCTCAAAATATTTGATCCTTAGGAGCACAAAGCAGAACGATTGCTGACAAACTGTCAGCACCTACTGCCCAGTGCCAGATGCCTGATTGTATGTTTTTCTCTGTCCAGAAAATCCCAGAGAGTCTTGTTTCGAGCCCGGGCCTGTGCTCAATGGCACCCGTGTGGGGGCAGACCTCAAACTGGGATCCACAGTCACCTTCTACTGCGACAGCGGCTACGTGATTGAGGGAGATTACACTCTCACCTGCATCATGGGGGCAGACGGGAAGCCAAGCTGGAACAAGCCACGGCCCAAATGCATAGGTAGGGATTTTACTAAGGGGAAAAAATAGAATGGGGACTTCATATTCATATTGAAGTATTTAAGAGAAAGAATAAAGAATATACACCATATTCATATTTCCTTTCTCAGTTTTTTTCCCCAAATGCCACCTGTATTAAGTTTACTATTTCCCTTTACATCTTAAGCCTTAATTGGGAGGCATGATGGTGCAGGAGTAACCATTGCTGCCTCCCAGCGCTAGGCCCTTGGGTTCAATTCCCAAGTTCTGTGTGGAGTGTCTATGATCTCCCCAGGTTCACCCGGGTTTCCTCCCATAGTCCAAAGTCATTCTGGTAGGTTAATTGGCCTCTGGGAAAACTGGCCCTAGTGAGAGTGTTTGCATGTCTGTGTTTATGTCTGCCTGCCCTGCGATGGACTGGTGTCCCGTCCAGGGTGTATCCTGCCTGGTGCTGGTTGCTTGCTGGGGTAGGCCCTGTCTCTCCCATGACCCTTAATGGAGAGAAGCAATGGATGAGTCTTAAACTGGACCTTGTAAACCAACAGTAGAGCACCAAGACCCTCACACTCAAAAAAAGCTGTCACAGTCTGTATGCCTGAGGCACTAGGTGCTGTACTTTCAAAAACATTTGACTCTACCCTCAACGAAAACTGCAAAACTTTTGTTGTGCGGCAACACATCAATGTGCAGCTCCACTTGGAGTTTAAAAAAACTTCTGCCTCTCTCTCTAAAAAAATTGGGTGTCTACCTGTTCCCCTGCATGAGAGATATATGTTTTTTTGCATCAAAAAAAGAAGAATTATAAAAGAGAATGTAAGACATGATGCATAAGAGAATGAAAGTCACAACGGAAGGACTGGGAGAAAACAAAAATAAACACATTTAAATTATTACCCTTTTCTCTCATGTTTTCCTGTCTCTCAGCTCCCTGTGGTGGACAGTACTCTGGTATGGAGGGGGTGGTGCTATCTCCAGGTTACCCTGGCAACTACAGCAGTGGGAGGAGCTGCCTGTATTCCATTGTGGTGCCCAAGGAGTATGGTGAGCCACTAGCACTGAGCCGCTGTATATCACAGAGACTACAGCACTGCTGGAAGGCCTGCAGAGCCTAATCCATGCATTGTAGAATTGTTGGCAGTAGTGTGGGACCTCAATAGAATTTCTAATCAGCCACTTACCTCTGTATCTCAATATATCCCAACATTTTAATACATTTTATTCTGTTTTGTCCTCCTGTTCTCAGTTCTCAGAACCGGAACAGGAGACCCCTACCCAGAAAAGGATCCCCACTTTACTGTATGCTAGCAACCAAATGGGTTACATGTGTCCAAAAACCATCTCTCTTTTGTAACCTTTCTTATGTTTTGTTCAATTCAATCATTATAGCTATATACAGTGTAGAAGTGACACCTTTTGTAATGTTTTCCTAATCATGGAGATATTGCACAAAGCAAATTAAATCTACAGACATAAATTTGTATTTGTATCTAAAATTGTGGATATAGGATGAACCTTGATTTATATTTTGATTGTTTCTTTTCTTTTTAAAATGGGCAGTTGTCTTTGGACAGTTTGCCTTTTTCCAGACTGCCCTGAATGATGTGGTAGAAGTGCATGATGGGCCTACCCAGCATTCCCGGCTTCTCAGTTCCTTGTCTGGATCACACACAGGTAAACACAGCTCTGTTTTTCTTTGTTTTGAAACCTGTGCCCTTAAAGCTCCCTTCTAAAAGAACCACTATGACTAACATTGTGGTATAAGATGGTTTAACTGAAGCTGCACCACATTTGATTAATATACTGTAAAATCTTCATCAATTTCATTGCATATTGGCTTTCATTGGCTGTGATCCAATAGCATATCCATCAGTCTTTAATTGATAGCACTTCTGCATAGGCCAAGTATCAGCTCAAACCATGTTGTGTTGTTATAACATTGCAAAAAATGTACTGGAGGAACAAGCAGACATTACCAAAAAAGGATTATAGCAAGGCAGTTGGTTACAGTGGGACACAGTGGGTGATTGTGGTGAAAAAAGGTTTATCAGCTTGCTTGTAATGAAGATAACAGGTTCAGGGAAGTCAGTGGTGTATTGGCAGTGACTCTGTGATATTGTTATTCCGTACTTCAAAGACAGAGCCATGCTTTGCTGGCAATTACCAATTTAGGGGACAGAAGTGGAAGTTGTTAGGGACTGTACCAGGGCCTGGGAAGGTCTGGAGTCACAGCAGCAGCAGCAGGGCCCACATCCCAGTGAGAAGCACACAGCCATTTGGCACGATTGCTTCTAGCTATGTCTTTGAACCCTCCACTCAATTCCTCAGATGGCTTGCTTGACGACCCTCATCTGCAGCATGCATCTCAATCTCTGCCTCTCTCTTTGTCCTCCTAAGGTGAATCGCTCCCACTGGCGACTTCCAATCAGATCCTCATCAGGTTCAATGCCAGAGGTCAAGCTACATCTCAGGGCTTTCACTTTGTGTACCAAGGTAGGTTTTGGCAGCAGGGATGAGAATGAAAGTTTATAGCATCCATTGCAGTCACAGAGAATATCAGACACACTGAAATAATACAGAGCTGGCATGTGTTGAATGTGTGATGCACTCCATAAACAGAATGTCACAATCAATATTTAACTGTTCGTGAACAAAAAGATTTGTTTTTAAAGTTTTGAATGTACTTTCGGCTGTGTTTCAAAACAGATGCTTAGCAAGGGATTTTACAGGATTTTAAAACTGTTACCTATTATTTGGTGAGAATCTTGTTTGCTTTGAATTTCAGTCACCTGCCTCTGTGGGTGAATTGGCCATCGATGTGCGATTCTATAGTTGGAATAATTTATTTAATGTGATATAAGTAAACACAATTAGCAATGAAAAAAGGTCCTTAAAAAAAGGTCCTTAAACGTCAATTCCAAGAAGAAAAAGAAATAAAGTAAAATGAAGTGCGGGTGTGCAGTTTCAGAGCAGTAGCTTGACAATGGGTACTGGCTGTTGAATTATTTAACCATAAAGAGCATTAAATTCATGTATGGGTAAATATCTTGCTATAAGCACAAATTGTATCACTTTTAGCTGCAGGCTTTCCTGTGGCTTCTTTTTCCATCACTCAGGGTTTAGTCAAAAGAAATGACTAAAACTCTAGATTTATAGGTTTTGTTCCAGCTCTCCCAAAATCCCTGATTGCTGCATTTCCAAAGAAAAAAAGGTTTCATGACCAGCGCTCTACCCTCTTCCCCTGCTCTCTGCTTTTGTATAATAATCAGTTCTGCATCTCCAGATGCTCCAGGGCCCCGTGGACTGACCCATCTCCTCTCCCCTCTCGTTCCTCAGCCGTTCCTCGCACTAGCGCCACCCAGTGCAGCTCGGTCCCGGAGCCGCGCTATGGCAAGAGGGTGGGAAACAACTTTGCAGTGGGGGCGGTGATCCAGTTTGAGTGTAACTCGGGCTACGCGCTGGAGGGAGCCCATGCCATCGAGTGCCTCACTGTCCCCGGGGCTCTGGCCCAGTGGAACAGCACCGTTCCCAGCTGTATAGGCACGTCAGCCAGGGTGCATGATCCACCATCATCCGGATACTGTACATACAGGAATCATTTACCCATTCATTATCTGGACAGAGTATTCCACTATTTCCCATTCTCATCCCAAGGAAACCTATAATCAAACTAATCACCCATTAATGCTCATGGTTTGCTAAGCCTGTGCACCACATCAGCCCATTTTTTTAATCTCTATACTGTATATTAAGATGTAAGTACATTGTTAATAAAATAATATGTATTATTCATACATGCAAGCTTGCAGACCATGTCAAGTCTTAGATAAATGATGTTTTTTCAGTCACAATGTTATTTTCATTTTTCCTTTAGATTTCTTTGATTCTTAATTAGTGAGTGATACAGTATACTGCTCCAAGTGACTTGCAAGTCATTAAGTACAGAAGATTTAAAATCACATGCTGAAATATTGCAGTATTGAAGCTTTCAGATAAGGTAGACCTTTCAAAGGTTCAGACTACCATCACAGCTTCAGCTTTTTTTCTTCTTTGGTTCTTGTTATTTCTTTACTATCTGCAGCTTACTTTAATAGATGATTTGCATTCCATAACTTACCCTTTTAGCTTCAGATCTTTTCTGGTCATGTCTGTGAAGGTCGCAAAATTAGTAAAAATACTAAAAGTTTAAAAACGTGTAACTAAACATTTCAAAACATTCCTGATCCTCTAAACCTTCACAAATCATGTTCCTCTTATGCTGAGTTTCCTACATTTATTATAAGAACTGTTGAGCTCATTTAGGACCCCTGGAAACCTAACAAGCATCTGAGTGAAAGACAGATGTTCAGTCTAGTGATTACTGAGAACCACAAGGCCTGACAGATGCTGTAACTGGACGGGCCTAAGTTTTTCCATGTAGACCGACAGATGTTGTGGCTGGTCATCTCTCCATCCTACCAAACCAGGCAGTTACTTTGAAAACTATCAACTGCAGGGTTTAGCAAGCAGACAGACAGATGGTGGGAATAGATGCCTTACTTGTGTCTCTCACTTAGTGCCATGCGGAGGGAACCTGACCCAGCGGACTGGTACCATCCTGTCCCCAGGTTTCCCCGAGCCCTATCTGAACAGCCTGAACTGCGTGTGGAAGATCACTGTTCCTGAAGGATCTGGCATTCAGGTAAGATGAAATAAAATAGAAGTGGGACTCCTATTATATGGCTCTATGAGCCTTCCCAGTGTTTCTTAACTGCAGGTTTCTGTATTTGACAACATTTGGTACTGGGTACACTGTGCTTGTCATATTATTTTTAGTAACTGTACATAAACTGAGAGTCATGGAGATAAAATAGTTTTATACATATGTTGACATTTATTGACTTACTATTTTTTCAGTACTTTGTAGAAGAGCCTAGAGGCCAACAAATCTAAAATGGATCAAACACCATGCTTGCAACAGCTAAATAAATGAAAAGAGAAACCTGTTGACAGATCCATGACTTGTAAAACAGTAATACAGAGTGCGGGCTCCTAAGCACTGCTGCCAGAAAGTTGGTATCTGCAGGATGCTGACAGCACACTTCTCTTGACCTAATTTTGTCATTAATTTGTTGCTTTCTTACTTCATGACCTTCCAATGGGTTTCTGTTTCATGCCCAACCTAAATTAGTGTTTTTGCATTGTCTTGGTGAAAATGGGGGTACTGGTGTGCTCCTATAGAGTTTTGAAAATGACAGGTTGGCTGGAATTAAATGACATGAAGTAAAATAACATTTCCACATTGATTTTCAAATTGCAAAGACTGTTTGTTCCAAGCAAAGCTCATCCCCTGCTTGCATGAGGGAATGACAACAGTAGTTATCTAATGGACTTATGAGGAAATCCTCAGTAGTATTGTGGCTGTATTATTGCATAGTCCAGCCCTCTATGAAAGAGGCACTTCTCAGTAGGACAGGTTTCTTAGAATTACGTTTCCCTATAATGCTATAGAACATGACGTGTGTTATTCCTGGGGACAACAAACTAAGAACAAGCTTATTAGTCCTGAAACATCTCTAAGTTTTCTTCTAACTCCAAAAAGAAAAACAATCTGGGTAAGTGATTATTGTTTCATGTAGTGAGCCATGAAATCATAGGGGATATTGTACATGCTGTTCAATAAAAACATGTATGAAGAACAGAAAGCACTGAGCCTAAAACTGGTCCCTGAGGAACCTCAGCATGGCCTGGCTTACATAATAGATGTCCCTTGAAATCTGCCTAGGAGAAAGAGGAATATCTGGCTTCCTTTGCTTTTTATGATCGCATTTATGAAATGAAACTCTGTAATCAAAGTGTCCCAGATGTCTCTTATTCTGAGTCATTAAGTATGCCTGGTTTTGTAAGTCACAGACACTGCAACAGATGCAGTCCTTCTCCTTGAATGCTTATTTTGAAGGATTGCAAAGATTCACTTTCAAAAGCAATTTGTTCCAGAGGTACCACCATTATTTTAAAAACATGCTCATGGCTAAAGTGATAAAAAAAACTGCTATAAAATGTTTGAATTTTAATTAAATATATCTGGTCTAGGTGTGAAAACTAGTTGATAATTATTCAATTACTTGCATATACTGATTTTCTTTGGGTGTAAGAGACAATGCAAGCATCTCTCCTCTTCACTAGAAGTATCCCATCCTTTATAAACCCATCTTACTGTACTTAGGTATTCATTTTACTTCTTCTAGACAATGTTGGCAAGTAATAAGAGGCAAACAAAAGTGGAAAGTACTGTAGCTTCTTTCAATAAATGAATGGATGAGATCAATGTCTCAATTAGCTACTAACTTCCAAATGGGCTTGATGGGCCAAAAGACTCCTCCTGTTTGTAACAGTCTTAAGTTCTTCTTTTTTGGAAACTCAACTGAAATCCACAGTGGTTTGTCTCTCCAATTTTGGCAATCCTTAATGAAAGATCAATCTTTGATCAGACTATGCCTGCCACTGGAAAGAAGAGAGGTTGCAAAGTAATAATTGCTTTGCTTCCAATCTATAACCATTTTGGAGGAGAAAGGTACATTTTGTGCTACCTTTAGCCTCACTCAAGAGAGCAGCCGAAGGCAGAGATAGATTATAAATAATGGGGAGAGTATAAGTGAGCACATCTGTGGCTGCCATGATAAGGTGCATGTCAGGATTGTCTAATCCTGTGCCAGCCCAGAATTAATGTTCTGCAGCTCTTCACTAGCTCCGTTTATATATTTATTCTTGTGTCAGTATTGCCCTCCAGGTAGAAACCAGCTCTTTAGATAGATGTGATCAGGCAGTGGGGAGTATAGCCAGACACTCAGATTTGCTAAAGCATTTTTTATGTTTTCGTGTCAATGTTGAAATTAAAGCTGTCTATAACACATTCATATAGATAGTCTATATGATGATAATTTTGGTATCGTTACATGACGGAGGAATTGACGTTATACCTTGCAGCGCAGATTGTTCTGTCTGAAAGCTTTCCATTAGAGGACAACAGGGATGAAAGTCATGGATTACACTATAAAATTTGTTATCTTGGATTTTGGCTCTTACCTTATTATAGTCTGCGGTAATATGCACAATAAAAGTAGAATAAAGTGACAGAAAACACAGTGTTAATAGAACAGTAAGGGACATGCTAGTGAACAAAATAAAGGTAAATCCATTCATTAAGACCAATAATACTTATGAAACCATGCAAATTCACTGTGGTAAGCAAAAGTACTACACAGCTAAGACAACAGTGGCTTTCAACAGAACTAGTGGCATTAAGCATCCAAGAAAAAACAAACGTATCGGTGGGAAAAGACTAAAGGAAATAATGGAAAACATGTTTTGGAAGGCCAGTGACTACTCATCACTTTGTGAGTCTCCCTTGAGCAGTTTCTGAATTATTCATTCTACATAGGACTGCAGGAAATAAGGCACTGTGACTAAAACTGAACCATTGAAAGCAAAAAACGATCAATGCAGTGTAACCATCCAGTTTTGGATTAGTTTGAGGTTTAAAATATATTTATTATACAATTTTTTGTTGTGCATTTTTTGTTGTAGCCAGTAGTGTGTGTTGTACTGTTGGTGGTGGTGAGAGTGGGATAAAAGCAATAGCTTTTCCTGCACTGTGTGATTGATTACTTCAAAATAATTTTTGTTTCTGGATGCATTAGAAGAACAAAACGGGTTAAGCAGTTACTTTCCATTTAAGAAAAGGAATATGTGACATACCTGAAATAGCAACTAAACAGGAATAAGGCCGAAAAAAATAACTCCAGTGTTTAGTATTAAATGGAAAGGGAACCAACTCACTTTTTCTTTATTAGCTCGTCTTGGTGGCATTTTAGCCTCAGCTATCATGTTTTACTCTTATGTCATCCCATGGGCATCAGCTCTTGTTTTACCTTCCCAAGACATTGTTCAGAGATAAGTGTAAATTCACAGTCTGTCGGCACCAACAGTTTTGCTGCTAAATGCAGCCTTGGTATCTGACAACAATCTTGCAGAGCACAGAGATGTGGCTGGCAAAAGTGATGACACTGCTGAATGGCTGCCCACAATTCAGTGGAAGCATTCGCAGCCCTGCTGCCTGCAGCGTTCCCACTAATCCACGATGACCTGCAGGCGCTGGATTCAAACCTCTGACAATTCATTTTTTTCTCTGCACCGCAGATCCAGGTAATCAGCTTTGTGACAGAGCACAACTGGGATTCTCTCGAGGTGTTTGATGGAGGTGACAACACTGACACCTTGCTGGGCAGCTTCTCAGGTGAGACGTGCATCATGGCCCAGTTATTGAGCTGACAGTTTAAGTAGCAAGCCACACTGCCAAAAGTCTTTCTTGTATGATGAAAAGTTATGGTGACTTTAGCTATCAATACACCTCTTTCTTAATTTCAGTACAATTAAATGTTACAGATTTACAGGCCAAAAATAAAGCAGATATGAATTTGCTGTAAATTAGCACATTTATTGTATATATATCCATTTGTTTTATTTAAAAGAAATATATATATTGGGTAAAATAAGAGTGCTGCATCTTTTAAAAAAGAACTGGTTAAGAGAAGAAATAATAACTTTATACCCAAACATCTCTTTTTCTTATTTTACCCATTTAAATAATATATGTCATAAGAAATAGCATCTAATATCTCAGATCATGAGCAGTTGCGAATGGTTCCAGCACAGAAGGAAAACAAAAAGTGAAAAATTAATGAGCATCCTTCAAAGCCTCAAGTATAGGACATACAGTATGTGATGAAGCCTGCCCTGAAACCAAAAACAGACTCCTACATACTTTTTTCCAGGTCATCTTAACTTACTGGTACTGTGTAGATATCTAATGCAAACTTGAAAGAGAGTTGCATGTAAAATCCAATTGATTACAGATGGGAAAACCTTTTTTGGTAATGGTAAAAGCTACTTTGTCTGTCTGTGTGTCTTTCAGGTACCACAGTGCCAGCACTGCTGAACAGCACATCCAACCAGCTCTATCTTCACTTCTTTTCTGATATCAGTGTTTCTGCTGCTGGCTTCCACCTGGAATACAAAAGTAAGGCAGAGCGTTTTGGCTATTTGAATACTGGGGGTCTGAATTACTATGTTCTTAGTTATTCTTCTGAACACAGATCCCACAAGCCATTGCCACACAGGCATAGTTTGTTAAATCATTCTTCTCTCATAATACTCAATGTGTTTGTTGCTTGGCATTCTTCTTTTTTTCTCTTCTTCGAACTCTGCTTCTTCTAAAAACATTCAGACCTAATCCTTTCCTCTTGTTTCACTTCCCTCTCTTCTCTTCCTGTGTCCTGCTTTCCCTCCCAGCCGTGTCCCTGACTAGCTGCCCAGAACCTGTGATTCCCAGCAATGGTATGAAAGTAGGGGATCGATACCAGATGAACAACGTGGTGTCTTTCCATTGTGAACCTGGTTACATCCTCCAGGTGAGGAAATGAAAGATCTTACGATTGCACAGCTGTTCCATTACCCTATCACAAGTCCGTTATGCAATGGGAACCTTGAACCTTCTGGTTAATGAATTCCATATACATTCTTTTCTCTCCCACCCCTCTCTCTCTCTGAGCAGTGTAAACACAAAAGGAACTAAATAATTCATGTTTCTGTTTCAGGGCCGCTCTCACATCTCTTGTATGCCTGGAACGGTGCGCCGATGGAACTTTCCTCCTCCACTCTGCATCGGTAAAACATCCACCTTGTCTCACGCCTCATCAGTGAATGATTTAGCAGTCTTTTCAGAATGACAACAAATAATCACAAGTGTGTGTACAGTACTTGTATGCATGAGAGAGTGCAAACAAAATCATTCATCTCATGCACCAACTTATACTGTATAAACTTTCTTGAGTTGTTTGTGGAGGGACTGATCTTTCTGATAAACATTCAACTCTTTCCAATTCAACCAGTGCCCAGTTAACGTTCCTCCTGGAAGACATTGATCGATTTTTGCCTTCAATATTAATGGCAGTGATTAAACCCCTGGCCCCCAGACACTTGATCTTTTTAATGCTATTCCATTGATTTAAGACTGTTTAGCTTTGCGTGTGCTGCTGGTATTCCTTCACCACTGTTGAGGTCAAGACAATATTGCGAATGCATAAAACTTGTAAAATGATCAATTAAAAAAACGGCACTCTGATTCTAACCAACAAATCTTTAAACAGATGCAATGGAAAATGTAATGTCAATAAAATATTTTATTTGTGGTGTAATGCACATAACTCCACATATCTATATAATGATGTATATATTTGGAAAATCTGCACATGACTTGACTCGTGATTGTAAAAATCCTAGTATTTTCATTTAAGCTGTTAATGGTTCATATTCAGGTTATCGTTTGAAATTCTATGGCTGTACACTTGTGTTTTCACACTGTTCCTTCAAGAAAGATGAGAGCAGTGGAACTGCAACAGAAAACAGAACCTGCATGACAGTTTGCCTGCGTCTGATTTACACACCTAATGAGGAAAACCTACTCTCAGTTAATTGAGCTTGTCACCTGCTCCGATTTGTAAAAGTCTTCAAAGGATTGATGGCGCTTACAGGCATCAGCAGTTCCCTGATTAAAATTTCATAATCCAGCTTTTCTGTTTTATTGTTATAAATTGGGGTTTAACCCTTTTATGACATTTATATATTTTTTTCTGCTCGAGTCATGTGTTTTCCCATTTAGACACATCAGCAGTGTTGCCCAGGCATTGCAGAGGAAGGGAGTTTTCTTTAATGCTGAAAAATGAGAAATCAAACACTTCGATTATACTTTATAACTCTATAGTGGCACCTTAAGTGAAACCTCCTTTTGTTGAATTAAAATAGCATTTTTCTTCTTTCTGAAATTTAAAAAAAAATACTTTAGACGTTTATTCTCCCAGACTTTGAGCATTAGTGACTTTGTATTGAAGGCAAGTCCATTAGCATGAAGGTTGGTGGTTCAGGTGTAAGGTGTAATGTCACCAAATCCATGCCCCATCCCTTTTTCTCTCTTTTGTTTTGGCTCCACTGCAGCACCATGTGGGGGGGTCCGGGAGGAAATGGAAGGGATGATCTTGAGCCCAGGGTTCCCAGGAAATTACCCCAGCAACAGCGACTGCACCTGGAGGCTCTACCTGCCTGTGGGCTTTGGTAAGACACTCTTTTCTGGAAACTATGAGAGACTGGTAGAGTTAGTTGTCATTTGAGTTTATAGCAATCGAAGGAAGATAGTTAACCACTGGGGCTTTAAAAATTCATTTAAAATTTCACCTTTTGACCTGACTTTATTAAATAAACTATTCTGTGTACTTTCACATGGCCTGATCATTTACCCCTGTCTTGCAGTTAACTTTGTGTTTTGAGTGGTTCTACCTAAAATGCAGTGTGGGGGTTCCTCCAAATTTAGCAATACATGTTTGCATCCAGGCTATGATTACTGTACCGTATTGAACAAGGGAAAGTAAGCTTCTCATAGTTTCACTACCCACTCACTAAAAACATGTTTAATCTTTATATAAGCATAGGAATTGCAGTCAAACCTTGGATTTACACCAACCTCTTAAGCGCAACTCAAAATAAACCCACACAGTACAGACAAAGGTCTGTAACATCATGGTGTTACATAGACATCACTCCGTATGAAAGGCTGTAGACATCACTCCTCAGGACTGCCAGGAGTGGGCCAGCCTTTTGGAGATGTGGGCTTAACTGTTATTTGTGGGCTGCATGAATTACACTGAGACTGGAGATGCCGGAGTCTCACAACACATCCAGCCAACTACTTCAAAAGAATGGTCTCTTGACACAATGCATTTGAATGTTTCTGAGAAACCATGACCTTAATCAGGCTTGTTAGAGAGCTAGAGACGTGCTCAAACACATAACTGTGCCAATCACGTAACAGGAAGAACTTCCCAAGAACTCTTTAAGGATGATATAGATTTTCAGAGTGTGTCCTTCTTTTCCTGGTGCTGTGCAGGTGCCCACATACAATTCCTCAATTTCTCCACGGAGGCCAACCATGACTTCATTGAGATTCGCAATGGCCCCTTTGAAACCAGCTCGGTGATCGGTCGATTTAGTGGACAGGAGCTCCCCCCTTCCCTGCTGACCACCTCCCATGAGACCACGGTGTACTTCCGGAGTGACCACTCCCAGAACAAGCCCGGCTTCCGATTCGAGTACCAGGGTAAGGACAACACCACCTGTCCAGCAGTTGCTACTAACTGTGGCACGTTTATACCTCTTTTTATACCACAATGCTTAAACTGGCAGCAAGTGAGGGTCATACTCTTTTACTGTTTCAATTTGGACAGAGTAAACGTGCACAAGTTACACGTAATGAAGACTTGGTAATTAGATAAATAACAGGAAAAAATCTGCATGAATCCATAATATGTTGGAGTCCCCGAAAAAATGTGCATTTGTATTAGTCCTGCTGTCTAGAAAAATGTATCATATATATAGTTCATTTCATAACTCCAGACAGATTGCAGGCTGCTTTCTCCAGAATCAGCCATTTGGAAGAAAGCACGAAGCCATGTGTCACAGGCAACATTCTTTACACAGTAAACCTGGCTTATTTAGTTTAATCTAAAAGGCTGGCCTTCTTTTTTCCAGACTGCACTTCTATTTTTCCCTTTTATCTATCTTAATAAATGTTAAAGGCAGAGTCACTTTTACCAGCCTCATCAGTTGAATCCCTTAGGTTCTGGCTGATTAATTCTGGTTTCACTGTCTCTCAAGGACTTTGAAAGCACATTGATAAAGGGCTGAAGGAAACCTTGAACACGTAGCATAGGGGGAGTGTACTGTTCATGCAGTAATTATGGATATCCCTGGCGGTACATCTGAAGTTGTTCACAAATGTGTCAGAAGTCAATGTCAGTACTTTAGCTTGGAATGTGGAAGGCTGTAGGGTAGTACTTACAGTAAATTACAGAAATTGTACTGGGCTCTTGATTACTTGATGATGTAACACTGGATTAGTTTGCAATTAAATATCTACAATATTTGGTCCCTTGCTAGTCAATCTAAATTAGTTTTTTTTTTTTTTATCAGCTTACGAACTGCAGGAGTGTCCTGACCCAGAGCCCTTTCAACATGGCGCGGTGATAGGTGCTGGGTATAACGTTGGCCAGTCCATTTCCTTTGAATGCCACCCAGGGTACCAGCTTGTTGGGCATGCCATCCTAACCTGCCAGCACGGCACCAACCGCAACTGGGACCAGCCCTTCCCCAGATGCGAAGGTAAGAGCTGTCCTGAACCCCAATTCCTTTCCGTGACCCAGCAAGGTCCAGTTCGTCAGGAATGCAGTGTTCGGCTGAGGTCCCAACCTCATGCCTTGGAAAGCAACTTTTTTAGAGCAGCAAAGCCACGTAAAAAGGGTTAATAGAGCAATTAGGAATCCACATAAGTGAAAAATGAGACACAATATATTTTTATTGAAGTACTGTTTTTTCAGTAATACCCATTGAGAGATACACAGCAGAGCGTTTTATAAAGGTATATATACTGTAAAAACTCAAGCCTTCGCTAGATAATGATTGTCAAAAATAAATTATCTTAAAGAGCAAAACTGCAAAAAAGTAAATGATCTAAAAAAATGTCGTAATTGTTAAATACCCTTGTGCATAAATACATATTGTAAACTAGAATATGAAAGAAGAACAGGAAACTGTTTTTCCTGTTTTTTTTTCATAGAGCTTTTTGCTGCTTAGGGAAAGCTAGATGAAGCATGCAGCTTGGTGACTCTGGAGGGCTGGAGTCATGCACCAGTTCTCTGTGTCAGCATTGATATTCTACCCTGCAGCGCAGCTGAAGTGGGTTAGTAAACCTTATGGGTTGGATATTTGGAGGATTCAGATGAGCCGGATTTTGTCTGGTAAAATGGACCTTGACTTAACAGATATTCATCCTGTTACAGTCAAAGGCTTGCTCCTGGGTAACACATTAAGCACATACTCAATTCAATTATGTTTGGGCATATGTTTATTTTGGTGCGAGGGGGTGGGCATGTTAGGTAGCTGGAATCTCCCAGTTTTCTGGAGCCTCCTAGTTGGTGCGGTTTCTGTGCAACTCAACTTAAAGAATCAAGACTTTTTTAAAAATCAGATCCTTACCACAGAGATTTTGTCCCAGCTGGGTAATTTAAGGCATTTTTAATTGTTTAAAAACTAGTTTAAACCCCCCCCCCCATGCTATCTGAATTTCTACAGTTCAAAATGTGATTCCTTTCAGGGAATGCCGTCTAAGATATCTATTAAACCTGACCCAATTCTGCTGTTCTGTCTGTGTGGCCTCCTTCTCAGAACACCAGTTTCCAGCTTCCTGACCAACCAGCTGGGTCATTATTTTTGTACTTTCCTCCTCTAAGTCCATTCATCTATTTTCTAACTGCTTTATGCAGCACAGGGTTGCAGGGGAGCCAGAGTCTATCTCAACAAGCAACAGGTGTAAGGCAGGGTACAACCTGGATGGGAAGCTAGTCCGTCGCAGGGCAGACACACAAAGATGCAAAATCACTCCAGGGCCAATTTTCCTGGAAGCCAATTAACTTACCAGTGTGTCTGTAGATCGTGTAGGTAAACCTACAGGAACAGGGGGAGAACATACAGTACAAACTCCAAACTCCATGCAAAGAGCACCCCAGAAATTGAACTGGATGACAACACTGCGAATCACTGAGCCACTGTGCCTCTCTCCTCCTCTTAATTCGAACCCTTTTTAAGCTTTTCTCAACAAAGATGGATTGCTTCCAGCTCTCACTAAATTAAGTCTAATTTCGTTATTGCCTTTCCCTTAGATGCTTGACAGGGCTTCCTTAGTTCTGAGTTTGCCCTGGCTCTCTGCCACTGGCTTTGCTGGGAGGTGGAAGAGTTCCAAGAACATTATCTCACTCTAATGTTAGGGAGCAAGTGTTCACTGAAGCACGTTAGAAAATCAGTGCGTGATTTAGTGTTGTGTCCTTCTATGTAAAACAACACTGCCTGGAGTTTTCATCCACCCTACAGTGTATTATCTTCAAGGGCTCCTTTTCTATGTTTTAAATCCTATTTATAAAGTGTAGGCATGCAGACACATCTGTGTTTTGAAGAGTTAAATCCCTTGGGACCCCTAGACTGAAAGCAGTACTTAGCAAACCTACAGTTCCCTGTGTGAAGCATGGTGTTACCACCTTGTGAAAAACAAACAGCAATAAATTATTACACTTAAATTAATCAATATAGTAAGGAAAAGAGTTTCTTATTAAAATGATTCTGGGCATTTGCATAATACTTATCATCCCAAAATGCTTTAGGTATAGAAACCCACTTCATCCACCGCTGAAGTGCAGAACCAATCACCCAGCACCCACCCAGTGTGAAGCAGCCCCAGTACACAGCAGACTAGGTGGAGTGAGACATTCTTCATCCACTCAATTAAGAGGGAATTCCTGGACCTGCACTTTAGCCTGGACACCAGAGTTAACACCTTTGTTCCTTCTGAAGGCACCATGGGCTTTGACCAGCTAGTCAGGGTTTTGATTATTGTCTTATTTGACTGTTGCAGCATTTTCATGATTTTCGGGCCACATGTGGCAGCGCAGTTGCCTGCATGTGAGCTCAGACAGGTGAGGTAATCTTAGCTCGGTCTTGATAGCTTGAAACTAAGGTTCCCACCAACTGTCCTTCTACGAGTCTGCTATAGGAAATAAATATCATGGCTGAGGAGTGATACTCAATACGGTGATCAATATTTCATTTAGCAGGTAAGTCAACTGTGGGGGGATTTGAATGGAAAATAACCTGTCCTGCGTGTTTTTCCCTGTGTTCAGAGACTAAAAGAAAAAAAAAAAGCAAATCCATCTGATGCTTGGCGATTTTTAACCCTCCTGCTTTAGCTTATAAAACATTCTACCCCAGTTCCCAACTCTGGTCCTAGAGGAACTGCGTTTTTTTAGATTTTGCTCCAGCCAAGTTATTAATCACAGACTAATCGATTTCAGTTTTCTATTTGAGGGATATTTGTGCTGTACATTTGTTTTCAGCTCTTAAAAAGTAAAGTGGGATTTGCACGGGGTTTCAGAACTACAGTACCCTCATTCAGGCATGTTTCTTGAAATGTAACCAATTTGACTTCTCTTTAAAGGAACACATGCTCATTGCAGAACATATTCCCACTTCTGTCTGTTTATCAGCAATTGATCAATGAGTAAGAGTTGCTTATTCCCCCCCAAAAAAACAAGGATGGTCGAGAGGCTGCACAAAGTTCTGTATGCTGAATATCCTGGAAACAACTTGTACCCTTGGAAAAGAATATTTTGACACTCAGAACTGACCAAAGAAATATGTTCATTAAAAGTCTAAACAAGCAAGCAGATCAATTAAGCCATCAATTAGCACTGGAGATTTAGAGCTCAGTTGGAAAGCCAGCAGTGTTCCTGTAAGACCAGGGTCAGGATGCACTGTTCTACACTTTAGTTAATTACGATTGTAATCTATAAGCCTTAGAACCACATTACCATGAAATAAGTTTTCAGAAGGGTTCTCTTTGAACGAGACTTTTCCGGAGACTATTTTAATTTATTTATAGCCACACACTAAGATTGTCATTTTTGGGAGTTTTGCAAGTGCCTTCTCAGTAAATTGTCCATCTCACAAGTATGAAAACCTCAAAACCGGTTTGCAGACATGGACCACAACTTGTTTTGCTTGCTACAGTAACAAAATAGCAGTGTGTCTCTTCTGCAATTTGAAGCTCAGTGCTTGAGTGGGAGCAATAGAGACTGCGTTTAAATTGTTCACTGTTCCCCAGGGCTCAGTTCTCATACATGGCGTGCACTCTACAAGAGCACATCTCCTCTAATGCTCCCTAATGCCCTGGGCCTCCCGCCTCCTCCCAGACTGACTGCTGCTGGGATAAGGTTGTGCCCTTATCTTTCCCAAACATTCTGACAGAGTTCTTACTGCTAACAGGCTTAAAGCTAATCTCTAGTCCCCAACGAGAGCTCCTTTCACCACTTCCTCCCCCTCCCATCAGCCTTTGTATTTATTTATTCATGGCGTTTTATTTATTTCATTTGTAGCGCCCTGCGGAGGCAACATAACAGCCGACAATGGGACCATTTTTTCACCGGGTTATCCGAACGAATACCCCAGCTCTGCCGACTGCGAATGGCTGATCACTGTAGCCCATGGGCAAGGAGTCCACATCAATCTCACTTTAGTGCACGTCCCGGGTCCGAACAATTTCATCACCATTTGGTAAGTGTCGCGATACGTAGTCTAGGACCCTATGCAGACGGTATAATCTGGAAGTGACTGGAATAAGACTTCAAGGGAAACACAGCAGGAGCAGGACTGGATGGCAGACAGGGGGCGTGACGGCTGTGATCTGGTGCTCGGGGGGCGTGGCACAGGCGAACAGGTTCAAAACAGTCTAGGGAAACCAGGGCCCAGTCCAATATCCAAAACTGGGAGGTCCACCCAAGACGAAGACAAGAATAAAAACAAGGAACGGGGTCATGGAACCAGGAATAAAGAAGTTAAAAATAGACTGACGAGGTCAGGTGCTCCGAGCCCCGGACCCAGATGGTCAGGACGTCGTTCGGAAGCCTGTGCCCTCAAGCCGTGGACGTGGGGCTAGGCAGGCCTCCAGGCATCCGTCTTCCAGTGCAGAGCCAGGAGTAGCGAGAGCGCCTGGCTTAAATAAGGAGGGACAAACAGAGGAAAGGTGCATGTTCTCAACTAAAATACGAAAGGGCTGGAGTGCCCTTAAGAGGAGGGATTACGATCGTGACAGTAAGGCAGTGAGCGAGCAGGTCAATGCTGAAAATGATTGCTTAGCAACGGGTCAAAGATTTCTGATTCTGCCTATTTTTCTCTTCATTATCTACGTCTTTTGCATCTATAGACAGATAGCAGTACTGAATAGGATGGGAGTGGTGTTTAGCCGTCACTGTTTGCCACTTCTGAACATGTACTGTACCAGGAGTGTTCACCCAATTTTTCCTCTATGGGCTACTTCAGAATAGACACATGGGTTTTCTTTTTTGTGTTCCGTTTCACAAGCTATGGTAGAGCCGCATTTCACACTCTGTCCAGAGACACTGTGGTCCACCGCTTAGGAGATCTCCAGGGTCCTTTTTTGAGAGGGAGACAGATGGTTTTGTAGAAAAAATGGCTGTTTCAGGAATATCGGCCAATTGTGTTGCACCCCTTTTCCTTAATGAATCTTCCAAGAAGAAACTGGTTTCCTCAGGGAACCACTGAGGAAGGAGGCTAGATCTTTCTCCATCATTCACTTAAAGCGTTGTTTTACTACTGTAAAACTCAGGGGGATATGGACGTGATAGGAGTGTTTTTCCCTCAGAGACAGGAGAATATGCAGCCTTGAATCTTCATGTTTTGTGTGCCCTTTTGAACTGTGGGTGGTAGCCTCTGATGACAAAGTTCTACAAGTGGTAAGAGTGAGACATTCTGACAGGAGATGCTAGAAAATCCCCCTCACACAGTTGGGACACCTAAAAACTGTGTGCATGCACAAATTCTCACAGTTGTCCTTTTCCTTCATAATGACGAGTCAATGTAATGCCTCTGTGCTACATTGAAGCTGAGTATGTGAGTGGCAGTGTATGATTATCCAAAATCAGGTTTTTGGGGGTCACACCGAATTTACCACTTATTTCATCCTGAGTCTCCAGTCAACCATTATTTTAACTGGGCCTATTTATCATTTCCCACGTTTTTGGCAGATGGTGATCCTAAGAATTCTTTCGGGATCTCCAGGCCCAGAGTTGTGACCTCCTGTTCTCATTCTGTTTCATGTGTTTTACAGGAGCACATCTCTGCAAATTCATCTGTCTGGTAAACTGTCCATTAAGCAAGTTAGAAGGAACAAAAGAAAAATGTTCTGTTGTACTTTTCTAGGGATGGTCCTCAGGAGACGGCCCAGAAACTAGGAGTGTTCAGCGGGAACAAAGTTGTAGAATGTCCCAGCAGCACCACCAACCAGGTCCTCATCCGTTTCCGTAGCGATGCAGAAAAAGGAGGTCTCTTCAGTATCAGCTACCAAGGTCTGCAACTCCCCCCCACCTCCAAGGTTTCACAGCTCCTGGATTTGGCTATTCATAAATAGCAATTAAAATGCTTGCCTTAATTTTCTTTCATTTTAGCTTACCTCCTCCAGTTTTGTCTACCACCACCCATTGTCCCAAACGCTGAAATCCTGATGGCCAGCAAAGAGTTCAAAATAGGTAACTATGCCTTTGAAAATGCACTCATTGGTCCCCTGTAAGCTCAATATTTGTTGGGTAGCTGCCTTTTCTAACGTGTTTCAATTAATAATTAGGGTGATGCTGAAAAGCTGCTTTAGTGTGCTAGAAACACAGGCTGAGAGTTAATTTTCTGGCTGGCCAGGACTCATTAATAATACTCCCAGAATAGAAAGAAAAACCTAGCCTCATTCCTGTTTGTCATTCCAGCTATTTCTGTGGAAGGCAGCAGAGCAGAAATGCTGAAGTGGGTGACTTTGGAGTGACTTCTTGCAGCCATTAATTATATCAACCATGTTTTAAGTGAAATTGTTTTACAGTTTTATCACATTTTCTTTTGCTAACAGGTTTTCTCCCTCCGTCTCTGTCTCAAGTATGGAATATTATTACAGACCTGAGTAGTTAGGGAGTGAAATATCGTTTTTGAACTCTGCCTGTTGTGTGGGTAAATTAAGAGATGAATATCTCCTGGATTAGAAAACATGTTAAATGTTTCTCGTTGATTGAGCATCCAGATACTCTTTCTTGCTTTCATATGATTTGGAAACTGTTCCGTATATGTTTTCTGAAAGAGAAAAGTAAATCAACAGTTTTTTATTAGTTTTAATTAGAAAATTATTAAGTCACAATTGGATTCTAGAGGGTTATAAGAGATGGAGTATTTGTAATGTAGTGTTTGCTTATTTATCAATTAGTCTATCTACAGTAGCTGCTGTCTTTATATTGAGTGAGCTGTTTATTCATTCCTCTGTTTGTTTATTTGACTTTGGAATTAGTGTCTTGGCCTGATTCACAGAAATTGAGAGAAATTGAAAAGATCAATTCAGGTCTGATCTAGTTACAAAAATTAGGTTCAACTAAACACATCTCGCTTGGCTGAGCAATGATCTTGGAGCACCAAACAGGCTCCAGTGTGCCAGTGTGGTGAAGGTATGACTGAGAGGGCAAGGTCTTCTGTTTTTTGGGCATTCTGCAGTTTCAGCAGAATGGTGGCGCAGGGCTGTAGAAGGTCCAGAACTGGCGCAGGCAGACAGACTTTGAGTGTCCTCAGAATACAGAAAGGCTTCTCACATGTGCCAGTTACGGGCAGTCCCTCGCAGTAGAGGATGGGCATTTTTGCTAATTGATTATACAGCACATTAAGTAAGTTAATTTAGTGCTTAACTGTTGGGCCCCCCTGGAAGGGGAAAAAAGAAAAACAGCTTTAGTGGGCTGTGGTTAGCATTGCTGCCTAGCACTGCTGGAGCCCTGTGTGACCTGGGCTGCTATCTGCGTGGAGATTTTATATTCTCCCCATGTTCGCATGGGTTTCCTCTGGGTGCTCCTGTTTCCTCTAACAATCCACAGATATATGGTTAGGCTAATTGACTATTGGGATATTTGGTCTGTGTGTGAGTGTGTATGTCTGTGTCTGATTCTGTGTGTTCTCTGTGTTGGACTGGTGTCCTATCCAAGATCTGCCCTGCCTTCTACCCATTGCTTGCTTGGATAGGTTCTGCTCCCCCACAACTCTGAATTGCATGAAGTAATTAGAAAATGTATGGATAGCAACAATTACATTTCTGGCAAGTCTCTGAAGTGGATGTGTTTCGTCATTCCAGTGAAAGGGCAAAAAAATTAAATGCCTAAGCTCTATTCATTTTATTTGAAGGTAAGAAAAATACTCTTAAAAACACAAAGTTAGAAATTCATCAGGGTCCTTTGGGTGGAGCAAAAGACCCGCTAGATTTCAGCCTTGTCCCAGAAATGTTGTTTATGTTTTTATCTGCTATTGTAAGTATAAATTTAGAAGATCTTAATTTTTGTCATCCTGTGATTCTATTATTCACTTCAAGACATTCTCTCTGGACCAGATACAGTACTTCGCAATTTTTTGACTAAGTTAATTGCGTGTTCTCTGCAGGGGACATTGTGCGCTACAGGTGCTTGCCTGGATACCAGCTGAGTGGCAACGATATTCTTACCTGTCGACTGGGGACCCACCTGGACTTTGAAGGCCCCCTACCGTCCTGTGAAGGTAAGGAAGCCTGTCTGTCAGGGGTGGCCCTTAGAGCCAGGTATGAGTTTTTTTTTAAATGCACAGAATAATAAGATACTGACCGATTGCCCAGGCTTTTTTTCTTCAAATTATTTTTTTTCCCATTTTCCCTGTCCCATTCTCTGTTTTTCTGAAATGTAGCAGTAGAAGTATTGATGGGAAAGCTGCTGTGCTGTTGAACCAGAGCCTCTGTCGTTTACAGATATGTTAAGCTTTGCACCAGAAAACAAAACAAAAAAACAAATTGAGAAAAAAGTGATCATGATGTTTGCTTAAGCCTGGAAACAAGTTCTTCTGCTGGACATCTCCCATAGAGTATCACACTTGGTAGTTATGTAACAGAAAACCCAAACAGCTTCCTCTCTCTCCTTCTATTCATATGGGGCTCAGTCCCATTCTTTGTTTTGTTTATTTTTGTTCTTTATATTGTCTTTGTCTTCGTTAAATCACACTATCAACCAAAGTGGCCTCCCCTCCACACACACCTACACCCAGTACCTCACTGAATCCCTCTTTCCGGAGCCCCAGCAACCTGGGTGCTGTCACAGCCACTCCAACGGCATTCAATCAGGAGGCCTGTCGAGGAGACTGGGAGAGGGGGCTGAAGCGGCAGGGGTGGAAGTGAGGGGGCGCTGTGTCTGTTTTTCGGGTCCCCGGCAGTAGGAGAGCGCAGCGTACGCGCGAGGCGCCGGCGAGGGAGAGGGGGAGACGGAGCGTCGGCTGTGGTGCAGTGCCTCGCGGAGCACCAGAACGGGAGCGAGGGCTCATTGAAATGCAGAGGATAGCCAGGCTGCAGCTGCACCTATCAAATCACAGCCTTTTCACAGCTCCTCGCCGGAGAGAGAGGCACCCCACTCCCCTCTCTCCCCTCTCTCCAGCAGCAGATGGATCGCTTTGATATGATCTGCCCTCTTCACCAGACCCATCCCGTTCTGAGGCAGGAAGTGCCTGGGCTTTCTGGTTTTGAAACCTACTGAAGCAGCCATAATTAGAACACATGCCCACAGGCATTCATACACATCAGCAGAATAGTCTGCAACATTGTATTAGAATCTAATTTGATTTTTATTATTATTCTTCAAATGCTGCTCTTGTATGTGGGATGAGTCCTTTTTTGGCAACACCCTCGCACCTGGTTAGCGTGCAGTGTAGGTTGCATTTATAAGCAGCAGTGAAGCCCTGAACCTGAGTCATCTTCATATCACCCCCTCTTCCCACATGCTTCCCACTCCTGATACACTAGCAGTGTTCTCTGTCTAGTCGAAATCTGAAACTCTCAATTACCCCAGTGCTGCTCAGACTGTCTATTCCCTACACTCTCACCCCCCACCAAAGTTCCCTTCCTTTTGAAAGTCTTAATATTTGAACAAGGATTAATAGTCTGTGTGCCCCCCGTCCATCAACACACACACACACCAGCACAGAGCAGAGCTTGAAGATCTGTCCTGTCTCCATGGTGACAATGATAACCTGGCATGATTTTTCCTCTAGTCCTTGTGAAAATTAGAGTGCTTTCTCACTACAGCACATGCTTCACATTAAACATTTTTTGTGTGTTTGTTCATTTAACAGCTTCACACAATATCAAACAGAACCTTGTGCTGAAGAGGGAAATTTGCTCCTTTTCCTTTATTTATCTTTATTTATCTTCAGCAGAGTAGCATTTGACATCTCCTGTCATGGTATACAGTTAGTACATACAGATAGGATTTAATTTCCCTCAAGTTACCCTGAAACACATACAACTGATTGCCCTTTGTGGTTTCAATGACCTATCTGTAGTTACACTGCATCATTTCAAATGGTGTCAGAATTCTTTGCTAAAGATTCACTACTGTGCATGATGGTAAATTTAGAGTAGGGAAAAGCATAGCATTGTAAAGCATGAAAAGACATGGTCAAGGAATTAAACAATCTTTGGGAAAGCATAACAAAGTAAAATCAATTCATGTTAAGTCCTCGTCAAAGTACCATGCAATTTCCATTGTGTTAAAATGTTCAGAAGGGATGCCTCAGCAGTAAAGGAGAGGAGTAATTGCATTATTGCTTCTCTCCCTGTCTGTGTGTCTCATGGAGAGCAAGTTGGGGGTATGTGAAAAGACAAATTCCTCAAACAAGAAATTGTATATGGGCAATAAAGTGATCTTATCTTATATTATTGTATCATATCTTATCTTATTATTAACTACTTGTGATCTGTGACAAATAGGAGCTATATACACTAGAGTCTCATGGGTGCACATACAGATAAGCATCTTAGACTGCAAGAGATTCCCATAGCTCTACAGTGTCCAGAAGACTGCTAGCATGGCAGCCTCTCATTGTAGAGGTCAGCGTGAACTCGCCCACACATCTTTCAATCTGGGAATAACGAGGCTGGAAATGAATGGGAGAGCAAGGGCTAATTTGATTTTACTGCGATGAACCAACAGACGCAAAGAGCGCTGTGGCAATTCAGCTGAGATGGCGAGCTCTGCCCCCTGTCTCGTGCACGCAGTACTCGATGATACTTGTGGTACAATGCCATTAAGGCAATGAGAGGATAATTTATGGTAAAATCCATGAAGCGGGACCACATGGATGTGGCAGGCAATCTAATTACGAGACAAAGTACAATGAGGAATAAGAAAGATGTTTGGCCACATACCTCAGTACCAATTTCTGTCTGGATATGTAAATCTAACGCATGCTGGTGGCCATAGGTATTTTCTATTTTTTTTCTAATTTTGTTTTCTGTTTACTGATAAATATATGTCTCAAAAGTCTGAAGCAGTATGACTTTGCCGTGTGCTTTAAGCAACAATATTGTCCTTTTGATGAAATTAAGGGTGATAGTCATTGTCATTGGCTGCTAAAAACCGTATACTGTATACTGAGAGGTAAATTCCATGCCAAAAGGTACTTGAAAGAAAGGTCGAAAATACAAATGTTTTTTTTTCTTGTGGAATCTCTTCAGGTGTGTGTAGCTGAAGAGGTGTAGCTCTTCACTCATATGACATACACCGTATTTTTGCTAGTTGGAACCATAAATAGATATAGGTCAAGTATGGAGCTGCATCAGCATGCATAGGCTGCAAAGGAATAAGTAAAGGCTTATTCCATGCTGAAAAGAGAAGACACAACATTTCAGCTGTGGAGCCTTCTTCGGGTATAAATGTATCTATCTATTATATATAATGAGATATATTGTTGTAGGGATGCAAGGAGTCACATCTCAGTCCCGCGAAGGTTTGAGATGAGCTTAATTTGTGACAGAAGTATCAATTTCTGGACAATTCCGAAGAAGAAAAAGACAAGCACAAGGTATATTTCACAGTGCCCTGAATTCTAGCAGTGTTGCAGTGAGGTTTGTAGTCAGAGTCCAGCTATGGTGACCCTATGTTATTACCATGAAGGGAGGTTTACAAATGACCATTCTACTGTACCTATGACCCAGTGGCTATTACTGATAATATTATCCCCACCTTTCGGCTGTTCCTGAGATGTCACACACAATAGCAGGTGTCTGATTATAATGATCCCAGGCCAGAGTCCAATTTCTACATTGTACATGTAAGAATGTTAGATGTAATTCAACTCAGTCCCAGTGACACATTTAGCAGATGTCCGCCTGGAATTTCCTCCCCTTAAACAGTTTGTTATATCTCCTGGTTCATTATATCGCCTGGTTCAGGTTTTAAATTGAAGCCAACCCCCTTAATGTGTCCACTCAGCAGACAAACATATGAAAAAAACAGCAGGCTACAATGTTTTTTTGGTCTTCAGAGGTCAGATTTTTCAACTATATGCATGTAAAAAGGCCTGGGAATGATTTGAAAACCTTATTCTAGGTGACTACTAGCTTGGATAAAAATCTGGGACAAATTGATCAATTAGAAAAAATTCTACATCATGTTTTGTGAAGACTGGACCTGGAATGAAATTGCACGCCTATAATAAAAAATCATAACTATATTGAAAATAATAAGAATAAAAACCATTGCAATTGCTACAAAAAACAACTTAAGACACTGTTAGAGAGCCTTTTTCTGCTGTTCGGCCTCAGAGTTGCCTTCTGGTGTGAAAAAAAGGAGCACTGATAAAAAACTGATTGATTACCCCTTCTGAGTCAATGATTGACAGCTAGAAGATAGGCGGAATACAGCCTGAGGCTTCGAGAGGAAGTGTCACCCCATAAGGACTCATAAGGACACCCCATAAGGATTGTATAAAATACAATGAGTGACAGCGCTTTTGACCAATCAGATCACCTTATTTCTTGCGGTCCTGCTTCAAACATTTACCACTATTTACAACACAGGCAATAACGGTCAATAGCCTCCAGGTCTCTAGATAAGCTAGTCTGGACTACTTTGGATATATATATATCATGCTTCAGAATAAGGTAAAAACATTGGATATATCTTTTTTTTTTTGCTTTTGTGGTCTTGTTTTGCTGGCTTATTGATTGCCTTATCGATGCATATTGGAAGTTTGGAAGTGCATCATCAGATAAAAAAGTGACTTTGTGATCGATTGTTTTGGTTTTTTTAAAGCTCCACTTGTCCTTTTTTGAATGATAACATGGTTTTGTGGTTTTGTTGTTAAAAATTGTTGGTATGATATTGACATGCTGTGCTGCGCGTGTTTTTTTATTGGGGTTCTTGCTAGTTCGTTAATTTATTGGTTTATTGCACAGTAGTGTCACAGCTGTGGAAACAAACTTTATGGTTTTGTTGTGATGATATTGGAGAATACTTGCATGTGAGAAACTTGTGGAGTGGTTTGAAAAAAAAGTTGTTTATCTTGCGTTTATCTTAATAACCATTAAGTGGAGGCTGGGGAGACAGGCGTGGTCGTCGGTGACCACGATCTGGAATAAGTGTTTGAAATAATTCTCACAAATAAAGTACTGTATGGTGCTGTATATGAAATCAAAAGCTTTAAAACTTGTGAGGAAGTTATTATGTATTAATATCACACTGAGAATTAATTCAGTTAAGTCATCAATACCTTACTGCAGTTATTGCAGTATATGAAAATACATGAGCATATCTGTTGGTACTGTAAGTACATGGCTTATGGTGACATGTAACAGCGTGGCGTTTTCCAAAAAACACCACTAGTGAAAGACCATATGCCTCTTTAGTGTTATGTGGGATTTATGATGTTGCTCAGAATAGTGCAGTGAGCACTTTTCAGAGGGAACATGAATGAAAAAATTTAAAGTGACCTGCATATCTCTGGATGTTGTTTATAATGAATCTATCCGCACCAAAAAAAATAAAAATCAGCCATTCCGCATCTTGCTCAGCTGGCTTTGAATAGAATACAACTGAATCAAAAATGTGTAAATTGTGTATTACATTACCATTTTATCTAAATTGAATGGAGTGGGTTTAGTGAAAATGAGTAAACATTTTAAAAGGGTTGAAGTTCCCCTTTGATACTTTTAAAAACTCATGGGTGTCTTTTGTTGTGCTTAATTGTTACAAGAATGATACAGAATGGTATTTGGCTGCACCACAGAAAGCAGTAAAGGAGTATTTTACTTCAAGTGGGAAAAAAAATAATCCCAGATCAGTCCTTGTCAAAGAGCTGTGCAGTACCAGTTTAGTGTTAGCCTGACTACACAGGTACAAGCACCAAGGTTAACATGACACCGTATTTAATTGTAATATCATATGTGTACAAAACTGAATACTGTCTGTTTTTTCTTTAACAAAATCTTGGAAGGTGTCAAGTGGGAAATGAAATGGTATTTCCTCTGTCTGACTGGATTCAGGGACTGTTTGACAGCTGAGATCCTCACACAAAATGAATTTATCAAAGGCCATTACAGACAGCAGGCGTACGTATAGTATGTAGGAGAAGAAATTCTGTCTGATTTCTTTGTGCGTTGAAGCATGGAGTTAAATTACTAGCTCCAAGCGTCATTGTTAAATGTCCAGAATTAAACCTGGTTACCTTGAAGGAAATTTAAGTATATATTTTCATAAAATAAAACATTCTATTCTCCGGAGTAAAGACTGGACTGTGGAATTCCAGACACAGAAATCAGAAATCTGCTTGTTCAATTGCATCCAGTTTAATATTTAGGGAGGGACAAAATAACATTATCCAAAAACAGCTTTGACCTTTAACAAACAGTAATTGATCCGGTTTATTTATTTTAAGACACTGTACGAGTTCACTCCTGCTGTCTTTGTTGTAAAATAATGTTAGCTGAAAATTTCTGTTACTTCACTGAAGTTGCCATCATGGTCAGGCAGTTCAGATCTTGTCCACTGTTTGCATTAGGATATTACACCTGTATTTAATCCTCTCACAGCTCTGTGGTAGTCTTGTTCTAATGTTAAATTAGGGGAGTTAGAGTTAAGATAAGGATGAGGCTGGAAGGTAATAAGATTAGGTTTATTTGGAGGTAAGGGATGATCTGCAATTAATGAGATTTATTTAAACTGACCTATCCTTATCCTTCAGAGACACCTGATCCATGACATTTTGTTTGTGTATAAACTATTCATACCACTAAAGATTCGCAGCACTGTTTCTTGAAGCACACACATCCCACCTTTTGACATGCCCCGCTGTTATGTGGGGTCTTTGTCAGGCTGCAGCTCTGAGGCATTGTGGGGGATCAACAGGGAAATCCCTGGCCAAAACATTCCAATGTTTCCTCATGAATTATTTACCGAAACCTGCAGAGGGCGTGTGCCGTGACTCGTGAAGGACTCAGTCTTTTGCTGCTGGCTGGCCTCAGACATGCCTTGATTTGCAGAGCTTTCCGGTCACACCGGCGACTTTGCTTCAAATTAACTGCGGGCACATTTGAACTTGAGCTGGGTAGGATGAATTTTTTAGTCTAAATCGACCTGCACCTCGCACAAAGCCGCAAACTCTATCTGCTTCTTCTCTGAAAGGTGAAAGGGTTACTTGTGTGAGATCTGAGAACATAATCTCAGCAACAGGAGGAGATCTGGTGGACTGTGTTAAGGAAACAGTGCGAGTCAATTGTTCAATCAGTGGTCTTTTTGTCAAGTTTAAGTAGAGATGAGGCCTTTTCTAGGATAGATAACCTTAGGCGAAGGGTCAAGAAGATTCACATTTGTATTTGAATGGTTGTAACTAATTACCAATTACACCTGTTCTTACTAGTGAGCAGTTGCCAGTACAATCTGCCATTTCTGAAGAGTGGCATTACAGTTTGACATTACAGGGTGATGGGCTCTATACAAAATACCAGTTATATACTGTGGTAAAGGATATCACTATTGTTCCAAAAATTCCCTTTTTATCAATGACTCTATGCTTGCTTGTAGTAACTCAAATCTTTCAGCCTTGTCCTTTTCACCTGCACTTGCAATCCTTGATCTAAGAACACACAGCTACACTTTTTATTTATAACAATCTTTAGTATTCCATCCATTCTTGTCTGTGTAGTGTTTGTCTTTCCACCTGTTCATAAAGCCTGCACACTCACTTTTCTTTTTTTCTGAATGCAAAGGAAGAGTTTTGAAGTACTGCAGTACTGCAGCTTTTATTATAATTGCTTGTGATCTGCTGTATTGCGTTACATTGTATGCGAGAGTATTATTGTTGAAGGAAATCCATTAGTGGAATAACCTTGTTGGGCTGGTGAAGTGATGCCACAGAGTTGCTGTGTTCCACTAAGTACTGTCCCTACTGCAGTACAGCAACAGTGTGCTGCAGTTGCAGTTAATATTTCCTTTTTTGACCATCTTGTTGAGTAATAAAATAAATGCAGTTAGAGCGATACTTTACTCAGCAATGCATTGATTTACTTTCCTCTACACAATGTCTGATTTGCTTTGCAAGATTGTGTAGCTCTATACTGACTATGCTCTTCTTAGGCCTTGATGGTTTCTTGCTGAAAGAAGAAATGCAGCTCTTGAAATCCCTTTTCTACCAAAAGATGTGTCCAAGACCCAAGAACAGAGCCTCTCTTTTTTTCGCAGTTACCTGCCCCATGAATGAGGTTCTGACAGACTCCACAGGGGTGATCCTGAGCCAGACTCCAGGCAGCGGGTTCCCACACTTCGAGACGTGCTCCTGGGTGGTGAAGGTGGAACCTGGGCACAACATCTCGCTCACCATCGAGCGCTTCCAGAGCAGCCGGCAGTACGACGAGCTGGAAATCTTTGATGGTGCGTCACCTGCCAACAACTTCCTGTCACACAGTGTGCCGTCTGTCACATGACAGGAAGATTGTTTTTCAGAGCAATTCATTGAAATGCATTAGCAAAACCACTGCGACACAAATGTGCTGTGCGCTATAACTGTTTGTTGCTGTTAATAAAAGTAAAGAAAAATGTAGACGTTATGATAATCTTCAACATATTTAGAAAATCTCATCTGGAGTTTCTTTAAAATCAACAGTATGGAAAGATCTGCCGTTTGGCAGATGTGAGCTAGGTGAGCAAGGGTAAGGGCCATCCGTCTGTGTAAGCGATTCGATAAAGGCCCAGTTCTCTACAGGGGGAATGTAAGAGGAATGTGTGGCTGTACAGTCATAGCTAAGGGCCGGTAACAGCATCACTTGCCTATTGAACATAAATGCCATGCCTCAGGAGGCTCAGCTGTATAAATATTTAAAACACAGAAATCAATAAATAAACAAGATGGCATGACAGCCAAAATGAAAACCTACAAGGTTTACAAGGTTGTAGTCAAAGGAATTCCCTGGGTTATTTCACATGAATGGACTCAAGACAAATGCACAAATGTTTCCGCTTAAGAATTGAAATGAAAAGCCTCAGTGATAGAGCCCAGTGAGAAGCCCCCTTGGGAGGCAACATGTTGTACCTTCCTGCACTTCTCTGTTGCATGTTTGCAATGTAAGGAATATTGTGGCAGTTGTTAATTAACTTGGCCTGTTGAGGTCAGGTCAGAACTGTTCCATTCCCAGAGTCCAACAGGGAGCACACAGGCACGCTATAAAGTTGCAGTTATTTGATGAGGGGTTTCAGCAATTCTTCATATTAAGATTCAGACACACCCTTGTATGTATAATTGTGTGCATTTTAAGAGGTTGAAAATTAATTGGTTTTGCATCTCTAAAGAAAGATGTGCCTAAACAAAGATGTAAGTACTGTTTAGATCATAGTACCTGTGGAATACTGATCTTGAACGAAAACCCCAATATATAAGAACATTCCTTGTTTTCCCGTAATTTAGTTTTTCACTTTGTCGGTAGCAGGGCACATTTGACTGAATCCATGTTTCCTGTAGGACCCTCCAGACAGAGCCCCACCCTGATCGTACTCAGTGGAAATTACTCCTCCCCCCTGAGCATCACGAGCTCCTCCAATAAGGTGTATCTTCACTGGACCTCAGACCACGCCTCCAGCCACAAGGGATTCCGGATTCGCTATTCAGGTGGGCTGCCCACTATGATGTCACAAAGAACAAACGACCACTCGTACTGTTTAGACTATCAATGAGAAGACGTTTTACCAGCTCAGCTCAACCACTGATCACCTCTTTGTTGACATACTCTATGTACCTCCCCCCGCAAATCTACGCAGAGCTGTTATTATCATGTCTCATACTCCGTTTGTACTGTTGTGAACTACAGCACTGTTGTATCAGGAAATCTGAAAAGCACAAGACAGTCTGGCTCTCGGTACATACAGGTACACCAATCCTGTCATTCATCTGGAGGGTGATTCCATTCATCTTTTTTTCTTTCTCTCCTAAACTGTCTGTATAAAGAGAAAAAAACTCTCAGTATAACAAGGGGAATGCATTTCAAATTGTGGGGCATTTTCTAGCATTGCCAACATCAATTTTCACCTTCTTAAATTAACAAAGGTGTTTTTTTAATGATTTTCTGGAAAGTTGCTAATACCAGGAGGTGTGAGCTTATGTGTGACTAAGAAAGCTTGTTGTTCTTTTAATTTCACACACTCCTGTAAAGCTGATATCTGTCCTCAATCGAACCAAGTCAGGCCTCACAGAATTATATTCCAAGCTCCCTCTCCATTTAACTGGGTGTTAATTGCCTTGTGAAGAAGCTGAATCATGCTGTAGCTGGGGAGATTGGGCTGTACAGCTCTTGACTACTTTTTCTCACAGGGTGCTTTAGGGCTGTGGCTATACAGTATATTTTGCAGAAATTGCAAGAGCAGTAGAGTGCTCTTATAGATCTTTTACAAGGTATTAACATTTATAATTGAAACCCAGTTCTTTAGTGTTGAATCCAGATCATAAGGGAATGAGTTGTTCTCATTTTTTGCTATGATTCTTGGAATTGTCTGCTCTGGCTCCCTTTATGCTCATGAATGCACATATTGCATTGCTGCAGTCTAATCTGCCAAAATAAAACTCGCATCTGAAGAGTCATTTTGTATCTGAGTGCTGATGAGATACGTTGGATTCTTTCATACAAAATGCGCCGGGATGCTGTGCACTGCTAATGTTGGGGAAAAGTTAATAATATGATCTCGCGTGAGCTTTAACCAAGTAGCACACAATCAAACACAAATCCGTTTGCTCTCTTGCGACCCACTCATGCTAAATATTGTACCCAAGCTGGGGGTGTGGGCTCAGGCAGGGAGAGTGGGTCTGTGTGCGCTGGTACAGTACCTCAATGGGACCTTGTCGCCATGCGTGTCTTTCATAGCGGCGTACTGCAGCCCCCCGAACCCTCCCGCCAACGGGTCAGTCCACAGTCAGACGGGCACCAAGCTGGGCAGCACCCTCCGCTTCGGCTGTGATCAGGGCTTCCACCTAATCGGACAGAGCAGCGCCACCTGCACGCGCGCCTCACAGGGCCTCTACCAGTGGAGCGCCCCAGCACCCCTGTGCCAAGGTAGGGGCTCTGCAGTGCTTTCACCCAATAGCTGTGCCCTCCCCCCTACTGGAGGACCGTGCAACGTGCGGGGTGCTGAGAATCGAATGCAGTAAACGCGCCCAGCATTTAACTTGTTGGTTTATATCTTGGTTTCTGGTGGTATGGATTTGGTTCATGGTACTGTCTCAGGTGAGATATGAGAACCGCCTTTTTTCCTCTTGCACAAAAAGGGTGTGTAGCAAGGCCGACCCCTTTGAGGACGGGTGAATAATTAACATAATTATTATTTAAATTAGACATGGTTTTTCTTAATTTGTTTTAACAGTCGATGATACAAGATACAGTTAAAGATACAGTTACCTATACATCACCTCAGAGCCTGATTAGTGTAGCACAATGCAGCTAATTAAATAATAGGACGAGCTATGTGACACATATGGGTGGAACAGAAACCAGAAGACACAAGGCCCTCCAGGAACTGAGTGTGAGGCCCTTGTTAAATGTGAGTTGCTTTGGGTAAACGTGTTGGTCAAAGGGATAACCAGCCCTAACAGCTCCTGCTTGTCGCTGGCTGTTCGCAGTGGTGTCGTGCGGCGTGCCCCAGCCTCCTGTCAATGGCACTGTCACTGGGCGGGACTATACCGTGGGCTCCAGGGCCGTGTTCCAGTGCAACCAGGGCTTCAGACTTTCCATGAACCACCCTGTTTCCATCGTGTGCCAGGAATCGGGCAAGTGGAGCCCCACCGACACCCCACCTCACTGCTCCGGTGAGTCTCGGGGATTGTATCCGCGTTCTTAATTATGTGAAAAGTCTTTCACTGAAGCGCACATCATCTGACGTGGTGCAAGGTAAATAATTTATATTAGATATATATCTAGTAAAAGGAGTGACAGAGCCCTGAACAAAGATATTGCACAGTTTTTCATCTATTAAATGTGCCACTCTTTCCCTCTTTATCTCAGCATGCTTTGTTATGTTACTCGTAGGACCCCCATTTTTAATTAAACTCTTGCTTAGAAGGCGTTTTTTATTAGCACATAAAGCAAGTCATCAGGCTCGATGGGTAGTTTTGGTTTTATCTAATCAGATATAATTGAGTGACCTGCACGCTTCTCATCTCCCATGGCCTGTTATCTTTCAGCCGTGACTTGTCCAGACATTGGCCATTCCGCAGTGGCACATGGGAGATGGAGGCTGATCTACGGGACCCATAATCAATATGATGCCCAAATGATGCTTGTCTGCGACCCTGGCTACTATTACAGGGGGCCCCGTGTCATCAGATGTCAGGCCAACGGCACCTGGAGCTATCCCGACCCCAGGCCAGCCTGCAACAGTGAGTTGACTTGTTTTATTAATATGCTCTTTTCACAGCCGTGCTCCTGAGACGGAGCTCAACACGTCCGCCATCTTGTTTCTGCCCCCTGATTTGAAAAGCCGTGGTATCCTAAGCTGTAAAAACCTGATATACAGTATGTTTAAGTAACTACCACAAGAGTTTGTAGAACTTAAACACCTGAAAGAAAATGTCCCATTGCCTCACATAATTTCAATCAGCGCTATAATGCTTGTATCGCTGCACCACAGCGTTTTCCAATTTGTCGGTGTCTTGCACAGTTATCTCCTGCGGGGAGGTGTCTACTCCTGTGAACGGGAACAAGATTGGCACTCTGACTGTGTATGGTGCCACCGCCATCTTCTCCTGCAACACTGGCTTCACCCTGGTGGGCTCCCGCGTTCGGGAATGCATGGCCAACGGGCTCTGGAGTGGAACACCAGTCCAGTGTCTCGGTGAGCTCCTGACCCTGCACTGAGGACCAGGGATAAAGATCTACCGATGAGCAAGAGTAGTGATGATTAACTGTGATTTTCAAGTATCAAGGCTTTGCCTTGTTTTTGTAGTGAATTCAAAATCTGTTCTTGTTTTGGTGTAGATCGTCACGATCTGATTGTAAGTTATGGGAATGTGTTTAGTATCACTCTCCTGATTGTAGATCGAATGGCTCTTCAAGCTTTGGAAAATCATGTACCAAGTTTTGCCATTTCTATCTATTCCAAATAATATGTTTTAGTTTACTAGAATGTGTTTAGTATCACTCTCCTGATTGTAGATCGAACAGCTCTTCCAGCTTTGGAAAATCATGTACCAAGTTTTGCCATTTCTATCTATTCCAAATAATATGTTCTAGTTTACTCTCCAGTTTTGTTATTCTACGTTAAGGCCCTTATGGTCCATTAGGGTGATATGCAGGTCATGGCGTAATATTATTAATAAGCCACTGTATGTCGTATTTAAACTGAATTGCACATGTAAACTATTTAAACTATGTAGGGAGCATGAATCTAACTCTCTAACCCTGCTCAGCTTCACTCATTCCCTGTTTCTCCCTCTCCCTGCAGCTGGACACTGTGGCACCCCCGAGCCCATTGTAAACGGGCAGATTACAGGGGAGAATTATAACTACCGAGGCAGCGTGGTGTACCAGTGCAACCCTGGGTTCCGTCTCATCGGTGTGTCAGTGCGAATCTGCGAGCAGGACCACCATTGGTCTGGGAAAACTCCTGTCTGTGTCCGTGAGTAACCCCGAAAACCCAGGAGACACTTCCTCTATGTAACGAATGCTTTTAGACCAAATAATTTCATTGTTTGATTCACTCTTATTTGCCTTTACACAGCCATCACCTGTGGTCATCCCGGAAACCCCATGAACGGCGTGACTCAGGGGGCGCAGTTCAACCTCTATGACACAGTGAGGTTCACGTGCAGTACTGGCTACAAGCTCCAGGGGGCAGTCATGTCACAGTGCCAGCCCAATGGGCAGTGGAGCAACTCCCTGCCAGCTTGTGAAAGTAGGTGTAGCGGGGTCGTGTGTGTGTGGGTTTGGAGTGTGTGTCAGGTTTCTCCTTTACCTCGGGCGAACTTGGCTGCAGCCGAACGAGACAAAATGGAAAAGTGAAGGGAGACCTCATGGCTCCTTGAGATAAGGCTTAATGCGCCCGTTTAGAGAAATTGAAAAGGGAAAGCAGAGAAATTTAATGATTTAATTAATAACTCATAACCATGGGCCTGCCGGGCTAGAAGAGGGTAACATTTGCATGTGCTGTGCCTATCTACATCTCCGTCGATCCGTGTGGCTGCCCGATTCTGAAATGTGGAGTGACGGTATCTCACATAAATGGACTTTGTAATTACAGCCCCTAAACGATCCTTCCTGACTAAATCTCCTGTGGATTTCATTACTTTTTATCTTTGTAGGAAGGACTACTACGTGAAAGGTCTTTAAAAAATGGCGCAATGTCACAAGTTCTACATAACATTTCATTTTTGATTTTCGGGAATGTCATTTTTCTAACTGCGATATCCTTCCGTATACATTATCAGCCAGAATAAAGAAACTGAGCCCTGCTGAGTTGGCTGTGAGGATGAAGAAGGTGCTTACCGTGCAAGGGATTACAAAGGTTTTTTTAAAAGACAACTGTGGAAAATAATAACATATTTCTAATGATTTGGAATTAAGGACGATGCATTCATAAAAATGTAAAAAAAACATCAGTGCCCATTGTTTTTTTTTCTGTATAGCGTAATACATTTATAGAAACAGGTTAAGCTTCTGAAATACCATATCATGTATACAACAGCACAGTGTAACCCCAGGCGTGTTGCTGTGTAAATTACAGCAAAGGTATTAAGTGTATTTCAAATGCAGAAACATACAGTACAGTAAGTGGGAGTTCAGTGAGAGAGGAGAGGATTTTCTCTCAGATAATTGCATCTGCTCCTTTGTATTTTAACCAGTAGGAGAGGAACAGAGGCCATATAGCAGAGGAAAATAGAATAATGTCCAGTCCTGGGAATCACAAGAGCTGTGCCTGTGCATTAGAAGTCCACACAGCCATTGTATAATATGTATTTAACGCCATCGGTATCTGAATAATACAGTGGCAAAAATAAATAAGTATCTCATTTCAGCTACATCAATAATTCATCTCTTTCAAACATCATTCAATGTCCAGGGCAATGTCCTGAAAATCTTCCATAACAACACAAATACTGTAAGTGTGTGCGGCTTCAGAAAGAGAACAGCAAAATCACACCAGCAGCCTCTCCACTGGGCCTGCTTAGCGAAGAGAAGCCTGGCCACAGGCCAGGGGACTGTGACACGGCAGCTCTGCAGTCAGCGAGGGGAGGAAGGAGGATTGTCTCCTTCCTGACTATATCTTATTGATTTACATCTCCATCTTCTGTACATACTGTATCTCCTTCCACGAAGCTATTCACTTACTGGTTAATTCCCATCAGCATTGTTTTCATTAAGTCATCTGCTGCATACGTACCCTAGCAAGGGCAACAGTAAACAGATTAAGGTCGAACATGTTTGGTGAAGTCATTTAAGACACAATGTGCGCAAACATTTCTGCAGCTCTCCAGAAACATACTGTATAGCAGCCAATGTGCTCGGCAAGAACAATTTGAAGAGGATGTGGCATTTCAATGGTTTTTAAACATTTGTAGCCTGGTTCCATGTCTTTTCCCCTTCTAGCATGCCTCTGGAAGGACTGTCTTCAGTATACTGTTGGCTGTGATGATGGTAGCATTGTGTGAGACTTGCAGTAACTACACAATCCACATTATCTAGTAGGACTGAATCTCAGGATTATTCTGGCTAAAAACAGGGATTTTACTGGAGCATTCTGAGAGACGTACATTGCTCAAGAATACAACCAGCAATGCCCCACATGGAATATAAAATCCCAACCTTCCAGTATACAAGTTCATAAACATAGACTTTTAACATATACAAAAAGACATATACAAGGAAATATATAAATACACGCATTCTTAAACAAGGACAATTTATCTGACACTTCCTGTGCATTTTCATCAGTGTAGTTTAAAAAAAAAGCCTGATTCATTAAAACCATAGTTTTAAAATTAAACACACTCCTTTGGCGTATGCTTGCTACTGCCAGACGAATAACTACAAACAGGGCGCCTTTCTGTGAAAAATAGCCATCTGTCGGGTCTGTTCAGACCTCCATCATCCTGTCAATAAAATATAAATAACTAGAGTCCCCAACTGCTAAATTATACTGCAGAAGGGTTATTGATAACATCTGCCATGAATTTTAATATCTGCTTTGGTGCACTAGTTCAGTCGTTATTCGTCTCTTGATCAGGGGTTTTGAAGTTCTTCTGTCCCGAGCTGCTTGAGAAAATATGTGCAAGTCTGAAGTGTTGAAGTCCGAGCCTTGGCTGAGCTGGAAGGAAAGATTAGCTATAATGAGCTGGTGAATTTCTATCGAAGTGTTTTGTCTCTCTTGCCTATTTACAGTAAAACATATGATCTCATTCAATTGTTTTAAAGGTGTTGTTATCTACAGCCTTCCATGTTAAATGCACGTCATGTTTATTTTTACTTTGTGCTAAAATGTTCATTCAATTCGCAGTGTAGAAAACATTTAGAATCCTAGCCAGAACCAATGTTTTCTCATAGAAAATGCAAAATAAGGCTATGTTATGTTCACCTATCCAGTTTCCGTCATTGAAAAATTAGTTTCCCATAAAAATGCATTGCTGAGTGAAAACGATTTTATTTCGGGTAGGAATATTTGCTTAGCGCTTCGGGCATCTGTGTGTAGTGCAGTTCCAGACTACAGGTGTGGCTGTCCCGTTCTCCACAGTTGTGAACTGCACAGACCCAGGGCACATTGAGAACGGCGTGAGGCAGGTGCAGCCCAGTGGACCTCATCGCTTCAGTTTCCAGACCATCGTGACCTACTCGTGCAGCCCCGGGTACTACCTACTGGGCACCAGTGCCCTGGCCTGCCAGGGGGATGGCACCTGGGACCGCTCCCTTCCCAAATGTCTGTGTAAGTTGGCGGCAGCTTGTGACCTGCCCCTGCTCCCCCGGGGACAGGTCTAACCGCTCCCAGAATTCCTTAGCTGGAAATGTGGGAGGACATTTCTTCCCGCGTCAGGAAAAGATAACATGCTTGAACCAGTTTCTTTTTTACACTAAAATGTACATAGATTTTTTCTCGCCATCCAGGTACTTGAGCACTCAAATACTTGAGTTATTGAGACATAAGGGGTTCAGCTCCTATGGTTTGTGTTACACTTAGCAATGACTAACATTACTTACAGATTTCTCAATTCAAAATTATAAATGCAATATGTAAATTATAAATACACAGTGGTTAACATTGCTCCCTTGTGGTGCCCATGCCCTGGGATCAATTCTGGGCCTCGGCTGCTATCTGCGTGGAATTTGTATATTTTGTATATCCCAGAGATCTTGGGGGTTTCCTCCAGGTGCTCCGGTTTCCTCCCACAAGACATACTAGTAGGTTAATTGGTTTATGGGAAAACTGGCCCTGTTGGGAGTGTATCTGTGTCTGTGTCTCTGCCCGGTGATGGACTGGCGTCCTGTCCAGGCAGTATCCCATCTTGCCCCTGTTGCTAGCCAGGATAGCCTCTGGTTCCTTCACAGCCCTGTATGGGATGAGGAGATTAGATGGGTCGAGTTCCCCAGATCGGAACACAGCATCTTACTCCACCAGCTCATTGCTCGTGTTAGAGTCTCAGACTCTTAAGTTTACAAAAGACCTCAACTTAGTTGTTCTGTAATGCAGATACATGGATGATGTATTTTTAATGATAATTGCTTTTTTTTATTATGTCGTGTCACTTTTTCCTTGCACTTAAAACATGCTATAACAAGTGTCTTCAAATTAGAATGTGATGTGCAAACAACAAGTGATGAGCCCAGGACGGAATGTGTCAGTGTGTGGAGTTTTCAGTTCTGGCTGATTTTCTTCATCCCGATGGAGATTCTTCAATTGTGTTCTTGCAGTGGTGTTGTGTGACCGTCCCAGCATCCCTCCCTATGCCCAGATCTCGGGGGACAGGCGCACAGTGGGCTCGGTGGTGAGATACAGCTGCATGGGTCACCGTGCTCTCATCGGAAACTCCACCAGGATGTGCCAGCTGGATGGGCACTGGAGTGGGTCGCTGCCACACTGCTCTGGTATGATCGCCCAGGGCCAAAGAGCTAGCAATGTTCGCCCTCTGGGGGGCCATGGGATCTTCTGGCCTTTGTCCCAAACCAGCTGAATAAATCGAACACATAGTCCAGGATTTCTTTTCCTAACATCAAAATCCTGCAGAGCAAATACTTTCTAATTAAGAAGTTTTGTTGGATTCTGAATCTTCTTCTTGATATTTTTAAAGGAACCCATAAAGAAAACTTAGGTGAAAACCCAGCATCCCACAAATCACTTTTCTTTTTATGAAATATATGACCTCAGACTATTTCCTCTTTTAATTTTTGTTCTTTTTTGCAAGCATCCCTCCATCAATTCCACTGCTGCCAGTATAGCAGTACCAGTATAGTAAGCTTTTGATTAATTATATTTCCTGCATACCTCACCCATATGATGAGGTCGCTCAAGTCAAGAATGCTAAAGTTACATTTATTAAAATTGTCTTTATATTTTTAATCCTTGCTGCCTTGTAAATGCAGGGACGTGTGTTTGAGAATTAATCTTGAAAAGCCTGCCTTTAGGACTGAGGCTTTGGGCTTAATTATGTCAACTGTTTGTCTACCCATAATTACCTCTAACCATTGTGCCCAATTTGCTTGATAGCAAACTGGACAAATGCCGAAATCAAAGCCAAGCGAGATTAATTTGTCCTGTAGTTTACAAAGCATTGAAAGATCTAAGTATTGAAGACATGTACAGTATGAACTAGTCTTGCAAAAAAAAAAACTCATTGCCTTTTTTTCAGGGCAGTTCAGTTGATTTTGTTCACCCATTAGCCCCTGAGAACCGGTGTTTCTGCTCCTACAAGACCCGTGCAAGCAAAACCTTTCAGGGAAGAATTGAGTATTTCTCTGGTGTTTGGTGAGAGAGCAGGAGAGGCTTAGTGGCTCGAATGAATAAATAACCCATGTCTGTATCTTTCTCTTATGTCAAAGGCAGAAAGCTGGGCCATTGTTAACTCCATTTAATCTTTTTCAAATCGTCAGTGCCTTGTATTAACTGCGCTAATACACAAAGAGAGGTAACAACAGGTCCCAAGTATATTTATCCGTCTAGACCCTTAAACTCTCTCATAAAACTCCTTTGACAGTTATAACACAGAAAAATTGATTACATTTAATGTTTCTGGCTTATTCAGTTTCTCCAGTTGGCCACTATAGCAACCGGTAAAATGTCTCTTTTTATGGTGATCTTGTCTAAAACTGGAAAAACAGCTATAAAACAGCTGATCTGTACTGTCAAATAGCAGGGAGAGAGAGCAGGCATACAATAGCTGGGAAAATCAAACCTCCACTCTATGGGGAATCCACTGTGTTTTCTGAAAATATTTCAGGTAAATATTAAATCAGTTTCACAGGTGATTATTAATATAATATAATATAATGAATTCATATATTTTAATTAAATTAATGTATTAATATAATTATGGGTAGTTCTTGATTTATACAGGCAATAGGTTTCTGAAAAAAACTGCATTTTCAATGTCCAGTGAAACAAGTTGCCTGAATATGGGGTACCAAAATGCATTTACATTCTCCTAGCAGAACGTCTCATTACTCATAATTTTTACGAGTCACTATACAGTATGCATTATTTTAGTAGAAACCTTGTGGTGGCAGTGAGATGTATGGAAGTCGGGAAGAGCACTGAGACGGAGATTGCCCATGTGTCTGTGTGTTACCCAAGTGACTCTGTCACTTGCTCAGTGACAGTGAGCAACAGAGTACTTGCAAAGTATGTTATCTTGGACACTCCGTCAAGTGGCCTATTGTTGACCACTCCCTTGCACGTTAAAGTGAGAACTAATTTAAATGGCTTAAATTTCTAGTTAAACTAGACTAGTTAAACCAAAAACATGCAAACTGCTTGAATCAAGAACTGCCTGTATTGTTATGATAATTCTTATCATTGTGACGTTTAAAAATGAAATAGGTCCTTCTCGCACACAAAGGCCTCGTCACTTGGCCCACCTGTCTGTGGGTGGTGGGGTGAAACCCTTGTTGCCTTTCGCCCGTGTTGCTCTGCGTGGGCCCGGGGCTCACAATCGCGCGACATGCCAGAGCCACCTGCGGCCGGCCTGCGCTGAGCCCTTTGGACGTGCCTTCGCAGGGGAGAGCCAGGGTCTGTGCGGAGACCCGGGAGTCCCGGTGCGCGGCATCCGGCTGGGGGAGGAGTTCTCGGCGGGCAGCGTCGTGCGGTTCAGCTGTGAGCCAGGGTACGTCCTCCGGGGATCGTCCGAGAGAACCTGCCTGGCCAACGTCACCTGGTCCGGGACACAGCCCGAATGCCACGGTAAGGCCGGGAGGAAGAGGAGTTTTCCTCTTGATCATTTCAGAGTCTGGCTTGTGAATGTATCCAGGGTCACTGCCACACATCCATCTACTCGTTGTGTATTTTTATTGTATTACAGTATACTGTACATGTAATATTATAGAATTACTGTATAGTACTATATTTTGTATTTCTTTTCTTTTTTCTTTTTTGTTGCCATTCTGTAAAGCACTGTGAGAAGCCTATATAAAGTTCAACTTTATTATTATTGTTGTTTGTTTGTTTGTTGCTTGACCATTTAAAAAGGTTCCATATACAGTACATGAGTCATCTATCATTCCATCTGTCTATGTGTTTATGTTAGAATAAGTGCTGCGTTTATTTATCTTGATACTATGACTCAGAAACCAGACTCCATTTATGTGTGCATCTCAATAGGTTTTGTATTTACAGAATAATTAATGAAGTGCTCTTAGTCATTTGTTCTGGTAATTAGACTTACACTCCTCCGTAGGTACAGTACTATACAAAAGCCTGTATAAATGAAAGCTCTCATCAGAATAAATGTATCCCCACTTGTTTAATGAAAAACAGTATATTATCAACTTGACTGAAATGTCAGCGGAAGGTCACAATTATGAAATTTTGTAGAAAGAATTTTCTGACTCTCATGCTAGTTAATGCAGTGTTCATCACAGTGTGCTTCATCTTATCTAGCCCTTTCCTTGCATCATGTTTTGAACCAGACTAATATGCATGTTAGTGGTGGCATATTAGTCTGGTTCAAAACCTGATGCACACTAAACAAGTCAACACATAGTCTCTCACACAGTACAGGGCCTTGTCTGACCAGAATAAGATTACCTGGTACCTCATCTTCTACCTTTCTGAGCCTTTGAGCATGGAGCCCTGTGTTGCTTCATCCTCTTAAACCTTCACAGGAACACAAGGAACACTTACAACTGAGAGAAGACCATTCGGCCCATCTAGCCAAATTGAAATTAGTGTCTAATTGATCCAAGAATTTATTGTTAATGCCTGAGAAAAAACAAAAAGGCGTCTGCAAGCATATATGGCAATTCCATATTCAACTTCCTTGGGCTTAAAATGACACAAGACAGGAAGAAATGCAGAAGAAAAATTGGTAGTTTCTCAGGACAGACATACTGTAAGAGTGACAAAGATCAAACAGGGAGAAAAATACTTCTTGTCTCATATTTTTGCAGGGAAACAAGTCATGTACAAAAAACTTTGTAATTAGGAAGATTAATAATTAATTAACAGTTTATTGTTTCTATGTGCAAGAGAGATCTGTTGTTTATATCTTGAATTGCTGTCCATCCCTTAACCATTCTCATGAAAAAGAAATCAGTTTCTACTCTTTCAAGTTGATTCACTTCCACATGCTTTTGCAGCTTTACAGCAGAAACTACAGTATTAAGAGTCAACTGCGCCACTTCACTCATGCTGGTTCAAGACCAGCAAAGCACTTGCATTCTTATCGTTACAACTGTGAAGTGTTTTTCTTTTTGTTGTTGTTTTTTTTTTTTTCAGTAACACTGAGCTGATTTGTTCAGGCAGAATTAGTTATGGTCGCACCAGAGTTTTCCATAAATCTTTTCCTTCCTGGCATCAGGGGAAGATTTATTGGCAAACGGTTTCATGTGATGATTCGGGATGGGATCTTTGGATTTTTTAAGGTGTTTTTCACTGTCAAAGTTCCAGACTGTCTGCTCCAGTTAGTGTGGCCCTCAAGGGTGAAGGCAGGCTGTGGTGAATTATACAGATCTGCACTGTCTAGGGCTTAGGCTGCCATGACTTCCATCCAGGCTGGAAGATGGTTTCAGAAGCAGATGTGTAAGGTTACCCTGTCAGTGCTGAAGACACCCCACAGTGCTCATTTGTTCATTCCCCACTACTATTATGCCACATGTTTTTTACCTTAAATCTACCTTACTCATTGTTAAGCATGAACAAAGAGCTCTGTGAGGTCCATCAGATCAGTGGCAAGATGAGTTTGGTCAATCTACTATTTTTTTTTTCATTTTACACATCTATCTCATAATCCATCCATCCATTCTACCAAATGATTCTTCCAATTCAAGCATCACAGGGGAAGCTGGAGTCTCTCCTGGAAAGCAACGGGCACCAGGCAGAGTTCATCCTGGACAGTCCATCACAGGGCAGACTGACATGAACTCAGACACGCATACACTCACACCAGGGTCAGTATTCCTAGAAGCCAGTTAACCTACCAGCATGTCTTTGGACACTGGGAGGAAACTGGAGCACCTGGATGAAACTCACATAAGCACAAGGAGATCTGTCTCATAATGAATATTGTAATTCAGCTTCTTGAAATGGCTGTCATAAGACAGACCCCTTTAAAACAATGAATAGAACATATTTTTAAAATAAATTCAAACTGATACAAAAAGAGAAAGATGACAAGGAATCCGTTACCGTCTGGTGTCACAATCGGTGTCGGGTTCTATGCCATATAAATGGCCCTTTTGATCTTTGCAGGATAAGAGAGTGTCATCCACAAGGTGGACAGGAGGATGAGACCCAGCTGAGATCATGTTCTGACTCTTTCCGATTTAAAAACCATTGGGGAGGGGACTCTAGACTCCATGCTCCAGGAAGTATCTGACTTCAGGCCAAAGCTCTTTGACATTTTAATGTTAACAGTGAAGGGTTTAAGGCAAGAGAGTACAAACAAGTAGCTGTAATGAAATATTTAACTGGTTTACTCTGGCAGCATCATTTTAGCCTCGTCTTTTTGTTTCTGCCTTAGGCAAATTTTTCCTATAACTCTTTGGTCCTCTTTCCTGCCATTTCCCCTCATGGCCTGAAAGGATACACCTGTGGTCTGTTGGCAGAAACATCAGCACGATCACAGTTGGTCATTACTGAATGCTCTACAGAGCAGATTAAAAAGCTTGTGGAAAACAAATGAAATTGAAAAATATAATAGATGAAGCTGCATCAGTGTTGAAAAGTGAGGCAGTTTCATGATTATCATCTCACCCCAACTGTGCTGCTCTTTTCTGTGTGCAACCCTTCAGCTCAATTCTGCATCTCCCTAACCTCTCCCTTGTGTGCATCAACATTTTCAACAGTGACTAGATTTTATAGGTTTGGAGGGGGTGGTTGTTTGGAGGAAAGTGTAGAAATAATTTGTCATTAGTGTCAAAGCTGGGGGAGGTTTTGGGTTTGGTACAAAGTAATCTGTAAACAGCAGTCTGAAATGAGCATAGTTTACCTAAATGAGAAATACAAACATCCTGATCAAAACAGTTACTGGTTTCATTGTTACTTTAGTCTTTCATGTTATGGCTGTGTGTTAGAAACACAGCTCAGTATTACAATGCAAATGGTTAAGGCTGTACTTTCTTTTTGGCTTTTTTTTTTAAATATGTTGCTGTGAAACTAGTACCTAACTTGGTTGCCTGCGTACCTCATCCAGCCATTTCTTGAAAGAAACCCGGTTATGATCTTCATCAGCATCACTAGTCAGCATTTATGAGCTGATATACAGTACTGGTGGATCTTCCAATCATTGTATTAACATCCTTAGGAAAAGGAAGTTGAAAAAGGACGAAAGAGACCATTATTGGCAGACTCTTGATCAAGGCAAGAGTAACTGCACGAGCTACTCCTTGTATCTCATTACCAGAACAAATGGTTAACTTTGTGTGATTCAGTAGTACAAGATCGTGTTTCCACTGAAGACACTGCAATTATTCTCTTTCCTGCTCTCTGTCTCTGTTCACCTCCCTTGGTCTGTCAGTGGTGTCCTGTGGAAACCCTGGCACCCCCCAGAACGCACAGGTTCTGTTCCACGATGGCCTGGTGTTCTCGCGCTCGATCACCTACTCCTGTCGTGAGGGCTACTACTCCACAGGGCTGCTGACCCGCCACTGCACCGTCAATGGCACCTGGACTGGCACCATGCCTGAGTGCACAGGTAACCCCCTACTCTCACCGCAACACCAGCATTTCAGCTATAGGAAGAACAGCATCATCGGCGCCTAATTATTATAATTCCCCCTGCAGTGAAAGCCTGTGTATGAGTTAGAGGATATTGAACCAGTGTACAAACTACACAGAAAAAGACGGGAGTTTTTGAGATGCACCAGGATTCAATGTTAGAGAATGTTTCACACGAAAGCCATGCGTTAGCTTTTTAGCCAAAAAAAAAAAATACTTTTTTAAAGTAAATGTGCTGCTCTAGGTTTTTATGTGTTAGCAGCAAAATAAACTGTTGGTGGAATAAATACTTAGAGAAAGGAGAATTTCAGAATATACTGTAGGCGCTTAATTACAATTCACAGTAAAGGAAAAGCTGAGCAGGATCCTCTCTTGAAGAGGGAGTTGAAGAAACCCCCTTGGGAAGTGTCAGACCAGATTCTCACGTTGTGGGAGAGGAGAACGAGAGCAAGGGTGGACGTCACTGGTCTGGGCTCGGTGCTGTGAGTCTGCATGGCTCTCTCTCTCTGCTCTTTTCCCAATCAAGTGATCAACTGTGGGGACCCGGGCGTGCCCGCTAACGGTGTGAGAATCGGCAATGACTTCACCTACAACCACACGGTGTCCTTCCAGTGTGCCCCTGGCTTCACCATGGACGCGGACCGTGCCTCCAGCCTCAGCTGTACCAAAGACCGCACATGGAACGGCACCAAACCCATCTGCAGAGGTATGGCTGTTTTTCCTGACTGCCCTCAACATGCTGGGTTTGTGTTTATGGCTGACCTGCATTTCGGTTTATACTGAGGTAACAAGTCTTGCAAAGGAAAATTATATATCGTACAATTGGTCTCTGGTGCAAACATAATACCAGCATGCTAATTGCTTTATCATGTTTAAATTAATTTGCATTTTATGGTAGTATGTCTGCCTGACTTACTAGCCTGTCAGTCATTTCCCATTCCTTTACGTAATGGAAATCCTGCCTCTGTTTGAAAGACAGATCCATAGTCCTTTGCTTTCTAAGCATTTTCTTGTATCTCTGAAGACTTTGACGTTAGGTTTATTAAGCTAATCCTAGATTCTCACACCTCACACTCAAAGAATAAGACAGGCATGGGTTGTTCTAACAAAAGATGATCTCTTTCCCTAAAGCCTGATCTCTTTCTTTCCCCAAAGCAATATTCCTAGAGTGTGTTAATCCCAATGGATTTTAACTCTGCATTCTGTTACATTGTGGGTTTTTTTTTTGTATTGTCTTGCAGCAATCGTGTGTCCATTGCCTCCCAGCATTCCCAACGGGAGGGTGGTGGGCTCGGATCTCCACTGGGGTGCCAGCGTGAGCTACGCCTGTATTGAGGGGTACCAGCTATCCCTGCCTGCGGTGCTCACCTGCCAGGGCAATGGCACCTGGAGCGGCGAGAGGCCCCAGTGCTTCCGTATGTTTCTTCCCATTCCCTAGAGCGAAAGCCAAGACTGTGAAATAATTGCCCCTCTTTAACATGAGCAGCTTTGACATGGAGATAATAAGCACATACTGTATCTAGCTAGTTAGCGGGTGATTTTATCCACCAGGACGCACAGAGACAAGGGGGAGAGTGCATCTATGCATCACCAGCTGCTGCTGCAGAGTTATGAGGCGCCTCAGGAGGTGCTCTCTGAAAAACATGAGAGAGGAGGCCACTCGGTCCAGTGTGACTCAGCGTCTAGCGCGTCTGGAGTCTCGCAGCTCATGACCACGGGATCTCATCCAGGCTGGTTTTTGAACGAATCCAGGGTGTCATCTGTGACAGCTTGGCTAGACAGTTCAGTTCAGGCACAGATTACCTTTCTTTGTAAAAAAATGTCTCCCGTTCACTGTTTTAAACGCACTTCCCCTTAGTTTTCCATCCTATCGCAGCTTCTAGGTGAACGACTGATTAGGCGCATAAACAAAGAACCTTTTGATCAAAAGTCCACTGCAGCAGAAAAAAATAACAGGGCAGGACACAATACTATCAGCTTGTTGATGGCCATGCAAGTAAATTATATTTAGACGACAAATGCAGAAGAACTATGGGTAAAATTGGACAATTCCATTGTAGTTGAGGGGAGTTGCTGTATATATGATAAGTTTGTACTCAAAATAAGAATTTGATGATGAACACGAAAATATACAAATCAAAAGGAAGAATAAAAACATTAAAATGCCTGTTATTCAAATTATTAAGTTAAAATAAATTGAAATTGCGTTTGATTAAAAGCCCCTGTTGAAGAATTATTCAATTCTTATACTTGGTTAGATGGTTAAAGGCTGTATTGACAGCATTCATTTTTCACTTAAGTATCCTCCTGTCAAATTGCAGTAACGGTAATAAAACACATCTTTCCAGGCATCTGTTGTCCTTCTATCTCAGTATTTCACTCACATAAGAATATGAGAAAGATTAGGACCGAGAGGAGGCCATCTGGACTACCTATCTCATTTGATCGCTCATAGTTAATTGATCCAAGAGTCTCATCCAGCTGTTTCCTTGAAAAATCACAAGGTACAGTATCCGCTTCCACAGCTGGGCTGCTTGTTCAGGGTCTCCAACACCCTTTCTGCACAGAGGCGGTTCCATATTGTCTCTGTAAACGCGTCTCCCTGCAGTTTCCACTGGTGCCGCCTGGTTCGTGTTTCACTGTTCGTGCTGAAGAGGCTGTGTGTGGCTCCGAGTCCTTGAACCCTCTCCGTGTGTCTCTCCGCAGCTGTGTTCTGTGGTGATCCGGGGATGCCATCCCAGGGCCGACGGGAGGACCGCGGCTTCACCTACCTCTCCTCCGTCTCTTTCTCATGCTTTCCCCCGCTGGTCCTGGTGGGCTCGGCCCGGCGCTACTGCCAGTCCGATGGCACCTGGAGCGGCACACAGCCCTCCTGTATAGGTACTGTACGATGAAGGTCGAGGCCCAGACCAGCTGGCTGAGTTCCCCAGCTATGAAGCCAAGGCAGTGCTTTTCTCTTGTCTCTCTTAAGAGTGCAGTGTAAAGAGCCACACTGAATTGCTGATGCTGCAGAGAGAAAATGTGTTTCTTGGCAAAAGTTCAGCTTGGAATGTTACCAGGAGCTCCTGGCCTACTACAGTAAACATTGCTTCTTTTGTTCTGAAGTAGTGGTTAAGTGTTCAAGGATGGAAATTGCGGAACATATACTGGTGGAAAGGAACGACGTCAGGGAAACAACTTAAAAAATGACTTTGAAGTTGGAAAAGCATGTTCTTAGTACAATTTAGAAAATGATGGGCATGTTTAATTGTTGCATTTCGTACTTGTGCTTCATTGAGTATGCTAATTAAAAACTCTGCCTATACATTTATTCTGTGACCTTTACCAATATAATACAGCTGTTAGAATACAAGCTACTTGATATCAATTTTATGTTTTTTCTACTTCGCTGGAGAGTGGGCATCAGGAGTGTTAGTGAAGCCATAAGTGTGATGCAAACAGTTCACTGTGCACCTTGATCTAAAAATTGTTGGAAAGCCTGAAGACTTCTGAACAGCGAGAACTAAATCCGACTCTTACCCCAGACTGATGTTGAATTTGGATGGAACATAGGGTTTAGGACAATCTAAAGCTTTTTTTTGGCTAGTAATTGTGTTGTATTTTTGGCACACATTTCATAACACATTCTCGAAATGAATGATTATTCTGCCAGAAGCAGAAAACTGACAAGTAAAAAATTATAAATAAATAAATCCGCAATTATTTGTTAAATTAAACTAAGACTTTAATCTGCCGTTGCTTTTCAGCTCCCTGATCTTTGTCAGTATTGTGATTTTCTTATTGTTGAGGTTGTTGAAGTTTAGCTGGTGTCATTTACAGATCCTAGCCACACCAGCTGTGTGGACCCAGGCGTCCCCTTGTTTGGAATCCAGAATAACTCACAGGGCCACCAGGTAAGGAGATGCGTTTTTGTGTACAGCAGAAAATTGCAAACTGCCGGGGCTTTGAGTGGATCAAAGACCTGATCGCAAAAACCTTTCATTGTTGTTTCATGCGTGGTTTTCTTCCTGGAAGTGTTCATTTGATCTCAAATAAACACAAATTCTGGACAAGTGCCTGCATCTTTTAAAAAATGCATACAGTAAGGGGTGACCTGGGGAAAGCTGGAACTGAAGTGAGCTTCGTGAGCTGCAGTCTGTCTCCTCTGCTTCCTGCGTCCCGGAGATCGTGATGTGTTAAAGCTAGGTGTGTGGCTGTGTCCCCCAGATTGGCAGCACGCTGTTCTTCAGCTGCAGGAAGGGCTACCTGCTCCAGGGCTCCATCACCCGCACCTGCCTGCCCAACCTCACCTGGAGCGGGATCCAGCCAGAGTGCACAGGTGAGAGTGCACCAGAGCCGGGCACTGGACATGGGATCACTCTGCATGTTTTATTTCCCTTCCTCCTTTTTCTTTTTGTCATTAAGGTGAACATTGAGTCCTGTCCAATATATTGTTTTTAATTCAGTAAACAAACATTCATCACGTGAATCATTAGTAAGGATATCTAATGCAGGAAACAACCTTTTAAAAACATTTCTGATGTACTGTATACCGTACTGTACTTTCACATACTGTATCTACTGTAGTGCACTGCTAGCACTACAACAAGCACAGCTGTGCTGCAGCCCAACGCTGGGTATGATAGAGTAACTATGTATGTTATGGTGTGTGCAATCACTGTGAATTTGTGAATGTGAGACTTCACCACTCTAAGGCTCTCTGTACTGTAAGTTCACCTGTGTCATTTTCTAACTGCAACTGTCTGACCTGCTCTCCATGTAATTGTGTGCCTCGGTGACTTCATGGCTGCAAAATGTTCTCTTTTCTGCCAAGAAATATGTGCTAAACAGCAGCACAATATTCTGATGCTGTGAAGATGTGAATGTTCAATGCTATGACTCTACAGTTTTGTGACTGTGTAACTGTGAAGTTCTCTGTTGTTGAGTATGTGTTGTAGTGCAACTCTGATGAGTTCAGGACTCTGTCTGGTCAACATTGTGGACTTCTCTCAGACTTGAGCATGTGTGTGTAGCTCAGGATCTTTGTTGGTGTGTCACGCAGCCCACCACTGTAGCCAACCAGAGCTGCCAGTGAGGGCTGATGTCAGCGCTATCGAGCTGCCGTCCCTGGGGTACACCCTTCTCTACTCCTGCCAGCCTGGCTTCTACTTGACTGGGGGGTCAGAACACAGGACCTGCCGGGCCGATGGCAGCTGGACTGGCAAGCCCCCTGTCTGTTCAGGTGAGTCCCGGGTGTCCCGCTCCTCCAGTCCAGCCTCCATTTCAACGCCTTCATAGACAGAATAGCATGTCCCCCAGAAACAAGGGAGCTGACCTGCTCCCAGCTCAGGCTGGTCCATTTCCTGTGATGGTTTGTGAAGACCCTACATCAGAGTTTGCATATACTGTACAAACTCGTTATATCACATATCTGTTTACCTGCGCAATCACAATGTTTGTAAAGAAGACACTCTGGTTGTAAGCAGATTTTAAGAAAAAAAATGGGACCCTGCACTCTTTCAGCTTATCTGACCTAGAGCCCCCCTGTCAGTTTGTAATCACATGCCCTTGAAAAAACATGTTTTTTGCTCTTAAGATGCCCCATCATCTTATAAGCCTGCATTTAAAAAAAAATAATTGATTCAGTGTAGATCCAGTAACTTTAACAAGACTTTAGGAAAGGAAAACTGGTGACAGCAGTGAATGACAATGCACAACATTGTTAACATGGAAGAAAACCGTAGGAATATGCAACTCACATACGCAGAACTACATTTCATTGAAATATTCTGCAGCTCCTTCTCAAAATAAATTCTAAAACACGGGGGGGAGGGAGCTATGCACAGCAAAACTGAGGAAACTCTGCATAGACGTAAGCATTAAGTACACCTGTGGGAGACCTTTTGGAGATACGTTGTCACCACCATGATATAAAAGCTAATAAAATCTACCTCCTGTGTGCGTGCAAGCCTATCTAAACAACTGTAGAGGATAATATTGGAGCAGTGCCCTTTTAAGAAATGACAATGGCCGATTAATCAATGGATTAACTTGTCGGCATAAACTGTAAGAAGGTTTGTCATTATGACGCATTCCACATCATGTGCAGCTGGGATAAAACAAATCCACAAGGAGTCTCCTGGATTTTATGTAATTTTATGTTCTAATTGTGGCTTTATTTCCCTTTGTTTAGCTGATACCAGACCCAGTGGGAACAACATTGGAACAGTACAAGAAGTGCCCAATGCCAGACTTCCAGGTATATAATTGCAATAGTTTTTATCACAGTCTGCTTCTTCAAACGCTGACAAAAGTTTGAGATAAGTAACACATTTTTTAACATTTAAAAGCTAAGAATCAGCAAATCTGCCATTTGCAAAAACACTGTGTGTACAGTTTAGAGTACAATGCAAGATGTTTTTTTATATACTATTGGGCATTTTCTTGCTACAACATTCCAGATGTTTTGCTGTCCAGAACTAAAAACAAGACAACAAGTCCCAGCTGTAACGGACCAGCTGTAGAAAGAGAAACACTAATAAGGTTTAAAATAAAAAAAGCCAACAGCTTCAGCATTCCTGATGTTAAGTGCAATAGAGTTGCAGCAGACAGGGAGCTAGAGGCTCAGCCCCCGGGTGTTTGAAGTCTGCAATGGCTCTTTTGTTTGCTGTGTTATATACTGTTTATGAAACTACAAGCAGGGTAAGCCTCTGGTTATTGGTCTCATCCTGTCACCTACCTGATTCCTCTTGTCCTCTGGCTCAGTCCCAGGAGACGTCTTTGCCAAGAACTCCCTGTGGAAGGGCTCCTATGAGTACCTGGGGAAGAAGCAACCAGCCATGTTGAGTATCACCAGCTTTGAGCACTACAACAACCGTGTCAACGCCACCCTCATCGACCACAGCGGCGTGGAGCTCAAGCTGGCTGGTATGGGGGTTTGCGAGGGGCCTTTATGATGGCCTTGACGGATTCCATCATCCCATTTTTTTTATCATTGATTTTGTGTTCGGTGTTCATGAATTGTGGAGTAAGAATGTGGAAAACAATAGGAAAATGTTCAATCCCAATCTACAATCCCAGGCACCCACAGCATCCTAACTGTTTGTAGACAATGTGAAATGAACCTTTTCAGACCCAAGAGCAATTTAAAAGTATCAGAATGGAGACTGGGTTCCTTAGCTGCACTTTTCTGGGTGTAATGTCTTAAGCTCTACAGTCTTGATTTTATAAAATAAATATGTCTGAAGCTTTCATTTACAACATGGTTATTCAGTCTAGGTCCCTTAGTGGCTATAGGTCTTTCTAAGTCTTTTTTATGTCTTTGCTTATTCCATACATAAAACCAATGGCTTAACAATAGCTTAAATTTATTATTATTTTTTTGGGCAATTTTATATTTTAATGGCTGGCAGGCTAATCTGACATTCTGTTATATAATCAAGCCCATTAATGCAAAACAACAGACATGGTCAATCTCTGATATCCCTGCCCCACTGTACTCCAAGGCACACTGAATATACTTCCCTTTGACTTTCCAGGCACCTACAAGAAGGAAGAGGCCCACTTGCTTTTGCAGGTGTATCAGATCCGAGGCCCAGTGGAGATATTTGTCAACAAGTTCAAGAGTGAGAACTGGGCTTTGGATGGTCATGTAAGTAAGCCTTGTAAAGAAAGCCATCTTCTGACCTCCACAAATTACAGGTGCATCTCTTCTAAAAATGTTTTATCATGGCAAAGTGGCACACAGTTATGCCAACCCAGTGCCATGCAAGTACTGTGGTATGCATAATGGTTAGCTACATTTTCATACATTTGTTTGAATGTCTCTTTGATTCCCTGCTTTATACTTGCTTTTCCTTCTGGGGTACGCCATACTAAACTCTCAGAGTTTTGCTTTAGAATGTGCTGTGCACACACTATGCATATTTAAGGTGCCTTTGCAAAGTGTTAGTCAAAGTGACAGAATTATGAACACTATGAAAAGGCACTGAATAATAGATCAATCAAATAGACACCCCATATGTAGAAGTGGAAGTGGAATTGGATGTAGAAGTTGGTGGGTGTGATTTAAATGAGACATTTTCCAAAGTCTCTCAAGACGTGGTTTGTCTGTTGAATAAAACTTCTGCTAGCAGACAAGCTGAACACTGTTCTCCTTCACATAGTTTTCCTCAAATCTTTATTAATATTGTCCTTTCAGACTGAAATTGTAGATATTAGAGTTACCTGTATTAACGTATTTAATTAAAATGTCACATTGCACCATGGGTGCTTTTTTAAATTTCCTAAAGTGCCAAAAGTCTGTTATTGGTAGCAATCACTGACAAAGACAGCACACCGTTGGAATTAAAATATATTCCCCTGTTGAAGAAAGTACTTTCTGCCATCAAACCATTTTGCATTACTGTGTGTCTCCAGGTGTCCTCCATGGCTTCGAGCAGTTCATTTGTGTACCAGGGGTTTGTCCGAGGGAAAGGGTTTGGGCAGTTCGGACTCCAGAGACTGGGTAAGTCTTTATTGACACATTATCGGCTACGATTAGCAGCGTTATACTGTATTTTGACTTTATTTGTTTAAAAAGATGGACTGAGACGTCATATGATAGTTATTTCCCCTGTAGTGTTCTGATTCAAAGCCTCGGTTTATTACAAGTACTGCTCTTGACTTTCACCCCAGACTGAAAAGGATGTTCATACTATATGGTAGATGTACTGGTAGACCAGAAATAGTGTGGAGTGGTGGTGAAGACTTTGAAATAACTCAAAAATGGTGGAATCAAACCCCCAGTTCTCAATGCTATTATACTTTTTAGTCGTGGTACTTCACTCAGATTAGTACAATGCCCAGTTGTATAAATGGGGGCAAATGTACAGTAAAACATTTGGTGGAAATCATCATCTGAATTAATATAACACACAGTAGTTCAATGGTTAGCATTGCTGACTTGCAGTGATGGAGCTCTGTGTTCAGTTTGGACCTGGAAGCTGTCTGCATGGAGCTTGTACTATATGCTCCCCACATGCTGGTTTCTCCACAAGCGGATTTCCTTCTGGTACTCCGGTCTCCTCCCACAGTACAGAGACATACTGGCAGGTGAAATGGCTTGTGGGGAAACTGGCCCAGGTGTGCTTTGTGTTTGTGTCTGTCTACCCTGTGATGGACTGGCCTCCCAACCTGGGTGTCTCCCGCCATGCGCCTGTTGCTTGTCAGGACAGGCTCCAAGTTCCCCGCAGCCCTGAATTGGATGAAAAGATGATAAAATGGATGGACAACAGTTAAACTTTAAATCCACACCAGTGATTACTAATAGCCTGAAGTACCCCCTTTGTCAAGATATTCTGTTTAGCTAACGTTGCTGGTTAACTTTTAAGAGACTTTGTTTTTGGAGTCTACCCAGGTGTTCGCACCAACAAGCTTTGAGTTGCCTTGCCTCTGAGGAGAGAGTTTGTTGTGTTTTCATCAGAGCGGAACAGATGTTATTTTGCGGAGGTATTTGATGACTTTGCCTCTGGAGGTGAAATTGCTCCGTCTCTCATCTGTCAGTCTTAAACAGGTCTGAGAAGGAGATGAGCCAACCTCCACCAGACAAGTTCATTCACAGAGAGAGAGGGAGAAGGACAAATGGAGAGAGTGACAATCCTGTAAACAGATGCAGCTTTGCTTGTATAAGAGCATAGCATCCAGATAGCAGGCAGACATAAGGCTAGCCCTAGTAAAGAAAGACATTTTTTAATGGATATTGTCAGAAATATTTAAATGGCCTGTCATGCATGCATCCAAGAATACAACTTTCTAACAATGATGATGATAATCCATGAGAAGGCATTGAATAAGTCAGTAGATTGATCTCGATAGACACCCCACATGTGGATGTGGAATTAGATATACAGTAGAATACTTCTACTATCAATTAGAACAAGAAGAAGAAGAACTAAAGACAACAATACTGGTCCCTGCGATATTCGGACTATTGTGTGTTATCCTGGTTTCTTCCTTTTTCTGTCTCTGAGATGACGAAATGTTTAAAATGCATTAAAAATATCACAGAAAATTAAGCAATGTTGCTCTGTTTCAGGTTCCTTCAGATGTGCCAAATCAAATAATGACAATATACTGTAGCCTTTCACTGGATTCCAATCTTATAATATTTGCTGGAGCACCTGTATGAGTTTCATATGCTGTTCATTGCTAATGAAATATAAACCTAGAAACTCTTTTTGTGTTCTTATTCTTTCTATTGTTATGGCATCTTGATTCTCCTAGCAGCAGATAATTAAATTGGCTTGTTTGGCTCCCTTATATATCTCTGAGATTAGTGAATCTCTGCTCCGAGACTGGGCATCAACAGGTTTGACTTCAAAGAGCTGTCTCAGTGATACAGTTGGTAAAAAATGGGGCAACAGGTGGCGTGGTTTTTAATTCAAAACCATTTTGTCAAATCTGCCTTAATAAAGTAGAGTCTCGGTTCTTCTTAATGACAGCTGTGGATCTGGTAATCCAGAAACCTGAAACAGATTGTGCAAATGACAGGTTTATTAACAGGCAGGGGGTTGGATGAAATGCCTGATGGCAGTTTTATGTTCTAGCGTTCTGGTCTTGGCTAATTGAATTCATTAGATGTTGAAGCCTTGACTTTGTTTTCAGGATTTCTGGCATTGTTTTCTGTGCAGGTGCACAATCTCTGTTTTATGAAAAATTTGGAACTGAGAATCTGTGGAAAATTGGATTAGTCTTTGTAAAGCCTTGAAATTAATATCCGTGATTTAAAAGAAAAACAAGCAATAATTATGTTAAACAGTAAGAAGTAGAAAGCCCTTTAACTTAGGTTTTACTCAAGTTGAGTCAAAGTTTAACAGTTTCTTACAGAAGAGAAACAGACACCCCTATTACTCATCAAGTTCAAAAAGGGCCCAAAGTTCTCTTTAAATATTCAGATGCTTAAGACCATTTTAAAAAGTTAAACAGCATTTTTAAAAATTAAATTGTTCAAAATTAGTTTCTGAAGATACTGTAGCTGAGAATTCAAGCAAAACGAAAACATGGAGATTCAGTCCTCAGGTCTGCAATGCCAGTTCCAGCTGTATTAAAGTTTTCTTTCTTTGTTTCTCGGTTTTTTATAGTAGTTCCACCAACCCCTTGGTCCTGTCTTGCAGATACTAACCTGCTGGAGAAGGAACGGGAGACCACAGGTTACAACTTCGCGTCCAACAGCAGCTCTGTGGCAGCAGCCATCCTTGTGCCTTTCATTGCCATGATCATAGCTGGCTTCGCCCTGTATCTCTACAAACACAGGTTGGGCTTCAGCAGCTTCGGGCCGGGTGTCGCGCTAACTCGCGCTAACTCTTGCAATAAGATCTGCTAGTTTTCAAACACCAGTATGTCATATTTCAACAGGAAAAATAAAAAAACCATGCAGCAATTTATGAACACCCTGTTTATAAGTGTTTGCTATAATGAGGCACGCATTTTCATATCCGTTTTTCACCTTTACAAAAAGACCCTTGCGACAACGAGAAAGCATCATCCTCAGAGCATGACCTCCTATAGCATAGGTCCTCAGTGCATCTCCATTCTTAGCATTTCTACGCATTTCATCTTCCATTTATCTTGTTAACTAAAGTATTACAGTAAATTGTGTAATTTCACCTTACAAACATGTTTTGAGGAATGCATTACATTTGTAAATCTTGGCATGTGTGTTTTGTAAGCATCTACAATGACACCTTCCAGTTCCTGATTTTAATGATATGTTAACAATTAATTGGCCTGTGCAGGAAATTAGATATTTGATATGTTTGTCACCAGAGTTCTAAATTCCATTAAGAAAGTGGATTTGATTTGGGTTTGTCACAGTGTTGTCCACACTCACTGGAAATTACCTTCACAATTTTTTCTATTGTTGGTCCACAGGAGGAGACCCAAAGTCCCATTCAATGGCTATGCCGGTCATGAAAACACCAATGGCAGAGCCACCTTTGAGAACCCCATGTATGACCGCAACATTCAGCCCACTGACATCATGACCAACGAGACTGAGTTTGCTGTCAGCACAGTGTGCACAGCAGTATAGCGCTCACCCACCTCCCAGGTTAGAATGCATTTTACAGCATGAGCTGGGGTGGTCTAGTGGTTGAAGTCAAGTAGTAGGAGGCTCAGGGTTCAAACCCTGGCTCTGTCACTAGTAAATTACTAAATGCTGAATAAATGATTAAACCTCCTTCTGCTCTGTCCTATGAATTAGGCACAACAATGAGGTTCTCCATTCAGCAGCAAATATTGATGTATTTGTTCATCCCCTTGTTGTTGCACGATGTTATAGAGAGATGTGTCTTCTAAATGACTTCTTTATTCTTATTCATTTTGGCCAACTGAGAGCTGCAAAACCTGGTACTGAGGTTTTAAAGGTGGGAAATCTGAAGGCACCTAATACCTAATACTGTCAATCACAAAACTAAAACAGTATTGTGAATTTCTCCTTAGATTTAAATTGCTGATGAGAAGTGGCTGTAAAGAGAGCTAATCTGCTTAATTAATGGTTTCTTTTGAACTTTCAAACAGTCCTGGAGCACATTTTTTTTTTTTTACTGTTTTTTTATTTTTTTTTATTTTTTTATTTTTTTATTTCTGTTTTGAGATAATCAGAGAAGAGAGATTTAGAAGAGAACCTTAAAGTGTTTTTTTTTAATGTCCTGCATGCTCACGGCTGCCAGTCGAAAGCTAGCCAGGCAGCCCCCCCCATTGCAGGAGGAAGAGAAGCGGCAGAGTACAGATTAGGGAGCTATAAAACTGAAAGTGAGTTTATCCCCTTTGGTTTGCCAGGGGATAGAGCAATGGAGGAAGTGCTGACTCAGGGTGGAGGGGATTGTTGCAAGCCGTCGAGTTTCTACTACAGATTTAATAACGTTTCCCAAAGATTTACTGAAGGGGATCTGAACATAAGCTTTAGAAAACGAACTCTGCTGAAAGTAACTTGTAATTGGATTTTTTCCCTTATTTTATTTCCTTACTAATGTTTTTCTCTCGGCTTTCCTTTTTATCTTACTTCCCTCCTTCCCCATCACCTCCCTTGCCTTTCCCTCCCGAACTCGAAGCATATGTCTGAAGGGCACAGAGAACTTTCCTTGATACAGCCATGTGAGATAATTGAACCGTGCATTCCCAGGAAATAAACTCATTGCTAATCCTTTCTGTTTTTTAATGTTCTTTATTCATGGCAATTGTTCATTTTTCTCAGAATCCTTATCTCACCATTGATCAAATTGATCTAATAAATAAAGCCTGGTACAGTATTCTTCAAATAACTTACTAGTTAGGGTCCATACTGGCTAGGCTGCAAGGGACGTGAGGAAATGCAGTTTCTCTCATCTAAAACTGGATCTCTAAAGCCACTTTAAAACAGACAAATAAACACTGCCAGACCAGACTGCTGTCCTCATGAATCAGCACTGGGGCTAACTACCTTTAGCATGAATTGGTCCTAATTTGAAATTTTCTCATTTCACTCCCCACAGAAATCCAGAAGGAATGGATGTCCTGTCATGTCACACGTCTTCATCCAGTAAGTGTCCCAGAGCTCTCTGCACCCAATCTTGAGGGTGTGAGAACCCCACCAGTGGAGACATCTGCTTCTTTATCCCTGTCCGGATGAGGATGATGAGAATGGAAAATGGAACCCAGGGAGAATGGAAACAGCAGCAAGTGACATAGTTATCTTGTCAGACATCACAGCTGAACTCCAATGTGTTGCAAGGAGCCGCTCTGTTTTTTCTATTTATTTTTTAGTTGGGTCCTTTGGCACTTCAAAAGTTGCTTTTGCAAAACTCAGTTTCTAGAAAACCAAGCCAGGGGTCTTCTTCAGTACTTTAGCAAAGCTTCCCTGCTTGTAAGACATACTGGTGGACCTACTGTATACTAGTGGATCAACCAAACCTGACAGCATGAAAGCGCCTGGAGATGAGCATTATTAAGGGAGAGGGCAGGGGCAGGCTCCTGTGTCAACCCAGCCTTCATATGACAGAAGAGAGTCCATTTCAGCTCATGGCATCTTGAAACATGTTCCTTGGTATTCCTCTTGAGAGGTAGAGCTTTCTGATCTTTGGCCTCTGTGGGTCGGTAAACGTTTGCTCTCCCCTGTTTTCAGATTCTCTGAGTTCTTGCCTGCAGTAATCATCCCTTCCTCGAGACACAATGTTGGAAAACACGAGGCAAGGGACTGGATATAAGTAGCACTGTGGATACTTTCTATGAATAACTATTTTGGTTCTTAATGGAGGATTTTATTTCAATATACTGAGAATGCACAGCAAAGAGAGGCTTGCGTACCTATGGCAGCTCACAGGGCAAAGCCATACAAGACTTATGTAAACGTTCAGCAAGACAGACATCTGTGTATTTGTGCGTGTGTGTACAGAAGGAATAGTTTTCCGGAATCAAAAGACTAACGACAGAGTAACTCACTTCCGGATCTATGAAGAAAAGTGGAATATTGTAAAGCAAGATGCTGACATTTCCACCTCTTAGTCGAATATTAGCATCCACCTCCTTTTTTTCTAAGTCTCTGCATTAAATATTGACAGGGGAGAGGCAGGAGAATGTCTTTCTGAAGGTGAGGGTGGTACACAGTGCAATGTGGTAGTGTCTGCAGTTGGCACCATGGAAGAGCAGAGCGTACAAAACTTGTCTGGACAAGAGAATCAGACAGTTGTTAATGATCTCACAACTCAGTAATGGGTTCAGATGCAGGTTATAAGAAGAGTCAGTTTTTTCACTGATAAAATTTTAAAGAGCTGGCTCGATTCTTCTCAGAGCTAATGGAATCTGTAGGCGACAAAGACATGAATTTCTGCTCTTGTGGGGTGGAGGACGCTCAAAGCTGGTGGGAGCATCCTAAAAATATTCCTTCAAGGCTGTTGTTAGCTTATTTAAAAAAGAAATCGGAGTTTAAAACTATGGAAAGGAGACTTCTGGCCCCTTTAACGGGTGCAAGCTTATGGAACCATTACCACTACATTCAGCCTTCAAGACTCTTGTGCATGGAGCATTTTCTCTGTGAGGATTATAGTGCAAATACCCTGAATGAACAGGAGGTGGATCACTGCCTTTCCGTCTTGCCATCTCATCTTAATTCAATGAGTACAGAACGGTATGTCTGTTCTCCAGGGACCTAGAGTATTAAGCCTGTGCTGGTCCTTTGACTACAGTATCTTAAGTCCTATTCAGTCACAGGTAGACAAATGAGTACAGATTTGCTGTATGAAACCCGATGCTGTTTCACACTCTCCGTCTCGTTCTCCGTGCAGTGAGCTGTCAGTCCTGTTGCATTAAAAAGATGCCCTTTCTTTTTTCTCCTCCTTTCCTGCAAGGGTCACTGACATGAGGCGGTGACATGCACCGTAATGCAGCTGACTCTGCGACAGAAGGGGAGAGTGAAAAAAAAACCCGGCATCTGCTTCTCCTGTCCCACACGCTCTTCTGCTGCAAGCGCTACCGCTCAATTTATCATGCCTTCCCCCGGCCGCACCAGCCAGGCAAGGTCGTTCTGACTTTGTCAAAACTGCTCCGGCAGCCTGACGACTTTCACCAGGTTTCCACCCAGAAATTGTCCTCTTTTATCAGCTGGAGAGTCACTCGTCTGGAGTGGGTTTCGCAGAGCAGCAGGAGGCTGGCTCGTAATTACAACCGTTAAACGATCTTCTCCAGCTTGCCTTTTAAGTAACGCAGAAGAATTAGAAAGAAAGATCGAGGGTAGGCTTTTCAGATTGGTGGCAGCAGGAGAGATCGTGAAGCGGCAATTACTTGTGTTGAATTCAATAGGAAATAATTAAGCAGATTACACATAATTGCGTCTCTGTTGGCATCTCTGGCTGTCAAAATAATGTAAACTTTTGCTCTCATTCTTGTTTTGTCCCCGGTTCCATTGCGCGCCTTCATGTCAGGGGGATAAAAGAGTACACTGGTGAACTCTGCAGCTGAGGAGATGTCACAACCGATTGCTTTGGCTGAACAGAAAACAAAACAATGCCTAAAGTGAAGTGACTGCCAAGAATACAGTGTGATGCCGAGAATCAAACTGTGTTTAAAGCAAAGCCTCAGTATCTGTGGCTCCTTACTCTACCTCTTATCGAGGTGGTAGTGCTGTGAAAAGATCAAAGTTGGAGCTCATGTGATACGTTATAACACATTAGTGTTAGTTTGAAGTAGTTCAGGTGGGGAGCTGCATCAGCATGTGTAGTCTGCAAAGGAACAAGTAATGGGTTTATTCCATGCTGAAAAGAGAAGAGAGAAAACACATTTCGGCTGTGAAGCCTTCATCAGGTGTGAGCACCTTAGTGTTAGTTTGCCAAGTTTACAACATGGAGTATTTTTTATGTCTGCACTGTTTCTGCCCCTGTTAACGGCATGAAAATAATTTGCATTAGACTTTCACCTACTGTAAGACCAGGAATACTGAGCTATGAGCCCGAGAAGATTCAGAGATCAAAGTTTCCTATGCCGAGTTGAAAATAACCACTGACCTTCACAGAATGTAGGATGTGGGTTGTCGGGAGATAATGTGGATTGTTTAAGAGGAAAAAATAATAAAGCAATCTATTTCCATTTTATAGAATAATTTTTTATGAAAAAACAATGAAATTCCAGGCTGCCAAAATTACCATTTGTCATCACTGTGAGCAGATTTGCCCAGTGACAATAATTAGAGCACGTTTATTTCAGGTGTCACTTTTACACCAATTATATCCTTCATACAAAGTTACAAAATTACAATGATAAAAGATAAATGACTACATATTTGTACATGGCTTGGTCAGTAGGAAATGTGTGTGATGTGTGAAGTGTTAAGAGAACACAGGACTGTCCCCCTGGACCCAGCAATGCTGGTTTCCATTAAACAGCTGGGTGGACTAGAGCAACTGGGGGTAAAGTATTGTACCTCTCTGAAAGTACAGCAGCAGGGTCTTGAGCCCATGGCAAACCAGTCCAGAGATGGACCTACTGTGCTACCCTGTAAATGATTATATATACAGTACAGTATAACTGACTATCAAAATAGGGAGCATGGCACATAGATATACTGCTTCATCCCAGTAACGTTTCATTGCAGCACATACAGGTAGTGTAAAAGAGAAACCCTTTCCTGGGGGGTTGTGTGAGCATGATGTTATTTAGAAGAAGAACATGTCCTCTTTCGTTTCTGCATATCCACTTGTCCTACAGCACATGCTCAGATAATCTAAGGGACAGCACAAAGTGCCCATCAGCTATGCCATTAAAGCTGAAACTGCCCTGGATTGTGAAAAAGTAGATCCACTGTAATGGTAACTACTGTAGGATGAAACATTTTTACGTGACAGTACTAATCCTGGGGATGTTTATCATACATTCCAACATCTCCACCTGCTTTTTGTACAGTGAATGTATAGTGTGAGTACCATGTCTTTTACTGGAGCCTCAGCATATCTCATGCCACTGTTCCAGACATTTGTTCTACAGCCAACTATGAATAGCTTCTACATTACTTCTAACAAAATGAGGGAGTTTTGAAGCAAATCTCCGTATTGTGCTTCCGATCTGTTTTACATTGTCACAGTGTTTTGGTAATTGCTTCTGCGGTTTTATTAGTTTTAAATCCATTGCTTATCTCCCCCGTCTGAATTTAATAATACTCCGAATGTGTTGGAATAGTGAGAACAAAAGAAAAGGGAAAAGCACAGACTATTTATATTTCCCTGGAGATTTTTCAGGCAAGGTAGGTGGTAGAGACATTATCTTAAACCAGCTGGCTCTTTCTCTTTTCTGTTTTCCACTTTAATTTTATTCAAAACATCTAAGGTCTTTATCAACACATTCAATTTCTTCACTTTTCCTTTCAATATTGCTGTTCTAGACCTTGGTGGTGAATACATTTTTCCTACCCGGTCTCATTTTACCCCTGAGATAACATTCGGCACTAATCTGTGACAGGCCAATAGCCATAGAGCTTAGAGTTTTGCTGCTACAGGAGAAGTCCAGGATCACCAGTTTTAGGAAATAGTCATTCAGATTAATCAATTTTTCTGCGGCATCTGTTGTTTGCTTTATTTTTAAATGGGTGGTTGCAACTGATTAAAATTTAAATGTTTTTTTTTAATTCAGCTCAATGTGTATTAAATAACACTGATGTGATGCTTTAATCTCAGTGATTCACGAGCGGTATTTTGCACGGGTGCGGTATTAAAAAGCAGGAGAAGAAACCTGCAGTGCTGGGAATCCTAGATTGACCCCAAACAGATGCTTTACCTGCCTCCTCTGTCAATCAGACATACAGCTGACTCCCTTGTGTTCCACTGTGCCAGGGGCAAAATTATTAGAGCCTGCAAAAGAGAAGGGTTTCCGTCTCCTTTGAGTGTGTTTTCAGATGCACATTACCCTTACAAGAAACTGCTGATCCAGCTCCTGCAATAGAATTTCAAGAAAAGAAAGAATTTGTCCCTATTTACTGTTGTTGTTTCTTTTTGACTATTAAAACAAAAAAGAAACACAGTCAATTATTATTTCTTCTGTATGTTTCGATGCGGCACTTCAGTTCACTCAAGCTTTTAAAGATGAAGAGCTGTCGAAAAAGTAAACAGACCCTGTGTCTGTATCACTCCAGTTGTAAGGGAGAGCTCTGAATCTAATTAGCACAGGAGAAATAAACTTTCAGAAAGACAATTTCAAAAGTGTTATTACTCTTGTTCAAATGCAGAGAGAGGCAGGAAACAGCTAAAAAAAACATTTCTAGTTGCGTATTGATAGATATACAGTATTTGCTTTCTGCATATTTTTTCTACTTCTAATCATAAATAACATATCAGGAGTTATTGTAAGAACATAGTACACTATATGACAAGCTGTCCAGGCAGTGGTTCTTCTTTCGGTGGCAAGAAGAGGAAAATTCCAGCTTCAACTTAAAGTCATGCAATTGTATTTTTATTGTACAATTATGTTTGGACAAAACAGTGATATTGGCAGCTTATTGTTTGCTTAAGTGTGCCACACTGAATTCAATCAGAAATTTGAGTATTATTTATTAACAAGTATGACTCTCTAGAGTCACTCATTTTATTGTTGATGTCTTTGTATAGCAGGAATGCACCCTCTGTCTATAGAGATGTTTAGGTTTGTAATTAGCCATCCTCCTGATGGTAGTACACATAATAAGTTGGCTTCATTAAACACTGCACTGTATGTATATCTACTGTATACAAATGCATCTGCAAAATGAAGTGCCTGTGGAAAACTAGTATAAAATTTATCTAAAACAAAAAGGAACAAAGGAATGACGGAAACAAACAATGCATTTAATTTACTGAGACACTTGGCAGTGTTTGT